TGGCCTGCTGTGTTCATCCAGCTCTAAACCTTGTTATCGAAGTTTGTATGGAGGCTTGATTAGAGCTTAAACACCAGTATAGACTGGTCCCAGGACTTGTTGGTGGGGATGGTGTTGAGGGAACTTTACTTTCAGTTTACTTTTAGTTCAAAAGAGTAGACTGGTTGACTGAGTTTTATCAACAATTTCTACATCAATATAAGTGTTACTTGTCATTTTTGTAGCACCTTCACAAGTTCGGAAGGATGATCAACTATCTGCTTTACAGGTAGGAGTGAACTGGCTTCATTTATATCAGTTTGTTTCCTATAGAACCAGATGTTATTTTCTACTCCAAATAAAAGATGTCCTTATAGGAACCCAGTCGGGTCCCAGCTGTGCCTTCTTTTGTTAGGTATGTGGAACATGCCTTGTTCTAGTTCAATTTAGGTTCCTTCCCTCACCTTTTTGTTTTCCAGTATGTTTGATGACTTCCCTGCTCTTCTATGAATAGGAAAATTTTATCAACTTTGGCTTTCAATTTCCACTTTTTTCTTCCCTTTCAGATGGTCCACCTCAAACTCTTCCCCTCCTCTGCTTGACTTCTGATCCGCCTTTATAGAAATAGGCCATTGATCAAGTCACTCCTAAAAGGACAAAGGCAGCAGATACATGGGAATAATACCTGCAAATCCATCAAAATATCCTTGTCCTTAAAGTGTGTTGGCTGAATTTTTACTTGCTTGTAATGGCAGGAATGGCAATAACATTTTATTTCTGGGATTTTGAACTCCTGTGCCTTCCTGTTTCCTGATCTATTTCCTATGGCTCGGATTATGATCTGGCATACACATCTGTGATGTCAGGGTTGCCAATAACAGTTCTCGGGAAAATTTGTTTCCTATGTCTTCCAGTGGGAGGCTTTTGAAAACATGCCTTGTTCGATAGTTTCACAAAGGAAAGCCTTCTGAGGAGTCTGGAACATTCTGAAAGATGAAATGTTTTGACAGCTTCAAATATCATGATTATTAGTTAGATGTGTATTACTGCAGCAATTAATTAGAGTTCTATACTGCATTAATCAGCATTATGTATACATTGAGATGTAAAAGAGTACTTTCCTATATGCGTTTAGTACTGAAGAAAACACTTTGGGAGTTTTAGCATAATGATCTGAAGTGACTTAAGTGTCCACAGCCTTTCAAGTTTGAAAAAAAGTCTAAAGCTTTTACTCCGAGAAAAGAAGATACCTGCTTCTGGATTGCTTTGAGTGAGAGGGTATCTGGCATAGCTTAGGGGGATAAAACAGGGCCATCTTTTCTTGCAGTTTCAGTGAGCTCCATCATTTGCATTTGTAATGGTTTGTTTTGACAGCTGGAGCCATTGTGAATGCTTGGCTGAGTTACAAATGATACCAAACCAGCTATTGAGTCATTGTGTCATAACAGTCATATAGCACAGAAGAAACCCTTTGGCCCATCGCATGTGCACTGATCTATCTGCACAATCTCATTTTCCAGCACTTGGCCTACACCTTGAATGCTATATTTCAAGTGCTCATCCACATTATTTTTAAAGGCTGTGTGGTTTCCCTCCTCTGCTACCGTCCCAGGCTTGCATTCCAAATTCCCACCACCCTCTTGGTGAAAACAATTTTCCTCAAATCTCCTTTAAACCCTCCTGCCTTTCAAAATTCAGCCCTTTGTTATTGGCATTTCAACTAAGGGAACAGCTGCTTTCTATCCATACTGTCCATGCCCCTCTTAATCTTATGCACCTCAATTAAACATCCGTCCACCCTCTCTGCTGTAAAGAAAACAACCTGAGTCTATTCAGTCTTTCTTCATAACTAAAATTCTCTATCCACGGCAACATCCTGGTGATTCTTCTCTGCAACCTCTTCAATGCAATCACACTCTTCTTGTAGTGTGATGACCAGAACTGCAGCTGAGGCCTAACCAAAGTTTTGTACAGCTCCAACATAACCTTTCTACTCTTGTCATTTATGCCACGACTGATAAAGGCAAGTGCCTTAACCACCTTATTAACCTGTCATGCCACCTTCAGCAAGCATTGGACAAGCACCCCAAGATTCCTCTGTTCATAGTGTTGTAAGATTTACTGAATACTCCCTTGTCTTCTTACATCTTCCAAAGTACATCACCTCTCACTTTGCAGGGTTAAATTACATTTGCCACTGATCTGTCAATCTGACTTTTCCGTCTATGTCCTCCTGGAACCTAAGAACTTCTTCCTCTCTACTAACCACCTGCCAATTTTCATGTCATCCTACTTATCAACTGTCAACTACTTGTCATCTCCCCACATTCTTATCTATATCATTTTTAAATATATATAATATATATGTCACTAACAATAATGGACCCAGCACAGATCCCTGAGGTATGTCACTAGACACCAGCATCCAGTCATTCAAACAGCCTTTTGCCACCACCTGTCTCCTAGGACCTAAGCCAGTTTTGGATCCATCTTGCCAACTCACCCTGGATCCCTGAGCTTTTACCTTATCAGTTTCCCATGTGAAACCTGTCAAAGGCTTTGCTGAAATCCGTATAAACTACATCAACTGCACTATCCTCAACTACATATCTGGTTACCTCCTTGAAAAATTCAAATTTGTTCGGCATGACCATCCTCTGATAAAACCATGCTGACTATCGCTGATCAAACTTTACTGCTCAACCTGGAGATTAATTCTCTCCTTCAGAACTTTCTACATTATCTTTCCTACCACTCGTGCAACTCACTGATCTGTAATTCTCTGGTTTATCCCTACTACTCTCCTTGAAAGGTGGAACCACATTAGCTGTCCTTCAGTCCTCTGTCACCTCCCCTTTGGTGATAAAGGAATTAAGAATTTGGGTCAGAGGCCCTGTAATTTCCTCCTATAAGCAGCCTGCAATTCAACTCATCTGCATATCCAAGGGCCTAAACAGTCTTCCCAGGTGAAGCAGCATTCTCCAATCTGGTCTATTGCATTTGCTGCACCTATGTGGCCTACTCTAGATTAGAGAAACCAAATGCAGACTGCGTGACCACTTTGCAGAACACCTCTGGTCCATGCTCAAGCATGACCCCGACCTTCCTGTAGCTGGTTATTTTAACAGTGTCCTGCTCGCATGCCAACTTGTCTGTCCTTGGCATACTGCAGTGCTCCAGCAAATCACAGTGAAAACTGGAGGAGCAACTTCTCACCTTCAGACTAGGCACCTTACAACCTTTTGGGCTCAATATTGAGTTCAATACCTTCAAATTGTGAACCCATTTCTCCCCTTTCTTTTAGTTTTCCTTGTTACATTCTCTGTCACCATGTCCTCTCTCCCCTCCTCCAACTCCAGTGGGACTGTCTGTCCTTTCAAGACTGGCAGTTAGAAAAACCATTGTTCTGATATTTTCACATTCCGATCACTTAATCTGCACTACCAACATCCTTTCTCCCCCCAGCACTCCATCCTCCCCAAATATTGCGTAAACGCTGCCCCCTCCACACTTCTTCAGAGCTGAAGTGAAGAGTCATCTAGACTCAAACATTAGAACATAAGAACTAGGAGCAGGAGTAGGTGATCTGGCCCCTCCAGCCTGCCCCGCCATTTAATAAGATCATGGCTGATCTTTTTGAGACTCAGCTCCACTTACCCGCCCACTCACCATAACCCTTAATTCCTTTACTGTTCAAAAATTTATCTAGCCTTGCCTTAAAGACATTCAGTGAGGTAGCTTCAACCGCTTCACTGGGCAGGGAATTCAACAGATTCACAACCCTTTGGGTGAAGAAGTTCCTCCTGACCTCAGTCCTACATCTGCTTCCCTTTATTTTGAGGCGATGCCCTCTCTAGTCCTAGTTTCACCTACTAGTGGAAACAACCTCCCTGCCTCCACTTTATCTATTCCCTTCATAATCTTGTGTTTCTATAAGATCACCCCTCATTCTTCTGAATTCCAATGAGTATAATCCTAGTCTACTCAGTCTCTCCTCATAATCCAACCCCCTCGACTCTGGAATCAACCGAGTGAATCTCCTCTGCACCCCCTCCAGTGCTAGTATATCTCTTCTCAAGTAAGGAGACCAAAACTGCACACAGTACTCCAGGTGTGGCCTCACCAGGACCCTATACAGCTGCAGCTTAGCCTCCCTGTTTTTAAACTCCATCCCTCAAGCAATGACAGACAAAATTCCATTTGCCTTTTTAATCACCTGCTGCACCTGCAATCCCACCTTCAGCGATTCATGCACAAGGACACCCAAGTCCCTTTGCACAGCAGCAGTAGCTTGCACTCTCTCCATGGATGCTGTCTGACTGGCTGTGATCTCCAGCATTTTTTGTTTTCCACACTTTGGGCATTGCCCACTTTTAAGCCAGCCAAAGCTTCCTATACATCCTTACCTGCTATGTCAGTCCCTCTCCCTAAAATCTGTACCTGCACCCCCCTCCTCCTGAGTGAAGACAGAAGTGACGCACTCATTTAACAGCCTACCAATGTCTGCTCGCTCCATTCACAGATTGTCCCCTTTCTCCCTAATGGCTCTGCTCTTTCCCTGGTTATCCTGTTCTCCTTAATATACTTATAGAATGTCTTGGAATTCTCCCTAATCTTAACTGCCTGTGTTTTTTTTTCATGTCCCATTTTCCTTGCTGTCCTAATTGCTTTCTTAAGTTCCTCCCTGCACTTTCTATTTTCTATGAGGGCCTTAGTTGATTTGCTCCCTTTGTACTTGCAAAAAGCCTCTCTTTTTCCTTATCCGGTCCTGAATATTCCTAGACATCCAGGGTTCTCTGGGCTTGTTTCTCATATCTTTCACTGTAATGGGGACATGTTAGCTGTGTACTCTCTTCATTTACTCTTTGAACCCACCCCGCATCCTATTGTTTTAAATTTTTTGCCCCCAATCCAAAGCCTCCCCAAAAAATGCTCCCCCTATGCAATCTCAACCACTTGTCTGGCTTTGTTCCCCAGAATTAGGTCCAGTATTGTGCCATCCCTTGTAGGACAATCTACATGTTGACACAAAAAGCTGTCCCAAATGCATTTCAAGAAATCCAACCCCTCGCAACCCTTTACATTATGACAATCCCAAGTAATGTTCAGGAAGTTGATATCTGCCAATATAATTACCCTACTATTATTGTTATTGCACACCTCAGGGAATTGTGCGCATATATGTGCTCCTCTATTGCCTACTGACTGTTTGGGGGCCTGTAATACACTGTCAGCAATGTGACTGCCCCCTTTTTATTCCGAAACTGTCTTCCACAAAGCCTCATTTGAAGACCCTTCCAAGATATCATTCCTCCTGCAGTAAACTGACCCCTTAATTAATAATGCAGCAACAGTTCCTGCTTTATACTCTCCCCTGTCCTGCCTGAAAACCCTATATCCTGGAATGTTGAGTTGTCAGTCCTGCTCCTCACTCTACCATGTCTCTGTGATGGCAACAGTATCACAACTCCACATGTCAATCCATACTCTTATTTGTATTGTCTATAATACTCCTAGCATTAAAGCAGAGGCCACCCAGCCTCATCTTACTCCCTTGAATCACAGCATGGCTGTATTTGCTCTATTCTCCAATTTGTGTACTCAGCAGAGAGCAGTGTTTTCCATGTGTGGTTCACTCAAATTGGTCATCCATTTTTTACTATGAGTTTTATCTTTGCTGGAATGTCTACCATTGTGGCACTTGATCACTCAATTTTTGGAAGGTGGTATATACCACATCATTTGTACTACTCTCTGCAATCACTCTGCCACTTGTCTAGAATTGAACAGTATGCGTTGTAAAGAAATAATGAAGCTAGTACACTGAAATTAATTCTCTCTCTCTCCCCCCTTCTCTTTTTTACTCCCTCTCTTTTGTTTCCTACCACTCTTTTTATCCTCTCCCCCTCTTCTTTTTTTTTTTGTCCTCCCTCACTTTTTTCCTCCCCCTCGGTGTCTCTCCCTCTCTCTCTCTCCCCTCTCAGGTATCCCTCTCCACTGATCAACTGCAGAAGTTGCTTCAGTTGCAGGTGAGAGCTTTCTGGCCAATTCATATTATGTTAGCTTTTCAGTGGAAATTAGCAATGACATTATCTTTCAAAATAGTTTTCCATACTCCCAGTTGTGTTGCATTTGATGCATTCTGGGGAAGGGGGTGAGGGGTTGCTGTGGGTGTTTGCTTGTGTGTGAGAATGCTCTTCAATGATAATGCTTTCTTTGATAGTTACTTTATTTATCTGCCTTCCATTTTTTTTAAGCTATGCACCTGGGTTTCACTTAGAATATCCCTTGATGTATTTGTTCAGGACCTTGCTGTATGGGATTCAAGGCCATGGTTTAAGTTAGGTTGTCCCTGCTATTTAGACTCATCACCTTCTGTCATAGTAAAAGTGTAGCTTTCATGAGCAAGTCATTGGCAGTTTAATTTGGAAAAGTTTTGAAGACAGAAAATAGGATATTAGTGTATCAGTGTTTGCTGATCGAGCCTGCTAGGTAATCTGGAGGGAGCTTTAGCAGGGTACTGATCCAGGATTTGTAACTCCTGGGTACTTGGTGTTAAAAATATTTATTGATGACCAGTGCATTTGAAGAGCAAAATCAATAAAACTTCAAGAGTAGGTACTTTGGCTTCAAAACATTTCAGTGGATTTCCTGATAGTGATTTAGTCTCATGTGATGCTCTGCTTTAACTTAAACTTCTGTTTATCAGCTGCTTCAGTCAGTTTCTGGAGGACGAGATGTTGCCACGGATCTGCCAAAGGCTGTGGAGCTGGAGAGCAGGCTGACAGCTGTGCAGAAACAGCTGAAGAGCACAGAAACTGAACAACAGACAGTCCTGCAGACTAATGAGGTCAAAATCATTGAGTTGGAGAGTAAGGTACAAGGCTATTCTGGGCTTGACTATTACGTGAACACACTAGTCGCTGCCATTTAAGTTAGGTCAAAAATCACACGACACCAGGTTATTGTCCAACAAGTTTATTTAAGTTAGGAGGATCATAAGTTATGTGGATGGAGTACAAAGGAAAATAATCAGATTAAGTGAGGAGCACAACTTGTGAAAAATGGAATTTAATTCCTCCTTGACCAAATGGAGTAAAATTAGAGTCTGGGCATTCTGAATGAAATTACTTTTTCATACACAGGATAGTGGAAATCTGGACCTACCTTTCCCTAGAAAGGCTGTGCATGTGAGGTTATTTGAAATTTTCAAGACTGAGATTGATAGAGTTTTATTAGATAGAGGGATCAACGTACTAATCAACAGTGATCAAATTAAATAGCTGTATAGGCTAAGATGGGTAAATGGCTTCCTCCTGTTTCTATGACCCATGTGATAGAACAAAGCTTTTTTTTTCCACTTGACTGGTCCCTCAAGTATATCTGGAAAATTACCTTCTATTTGAAGTGAGAGGTCTTTGGATAAAACTAAAATACTGCAGATGCCAGAAATCGGAAACAAACACAGAAAATGCTGGAGAAACTCAGCAGTCTGGTAGCAGCTGTGGAGAGAAACAATGTTTACATTTTAAGTCCAACATGACTTCTTCAGCACCAATTTAAGATGAAAAAATGCGAAAAAAATCAACAGTGACGTGAGGCAGTAAATTTTCCTGCAGTGAATGGCTAGGATCTGGAGTGCACTGCCTGAGAGTGTAGTGGAAACACCTTCAAACGAGGCTCTCTGATTAGAATTGGACAAGTGACTGAAAAGGAAGGATATGAAGGCTAGTGGGAAAAGACAAATGTGTGGGACTAGGTGAGTTACTTTTGAAGAAAGCCAGCACAGAAATGGTAAGCCAACTGACCTGTGCTGTAGCTGTTTATATTTCTGTAAGTGCAATGTTCATGCACAGTAATTTTGGAGACAAACGTAGCTCCCCCACCAATGCTAAGGTTGCAGTGTAAGTGTAAAATGGAAGAACTCTCTGGGAACAGCAGCATAGTTGCTTTGTTGTGGGTCTAGTAATACATTGGCCTGAACTAAAAGTCTGCAGAAATGAGTTTAAGTTGCATCACGGCAGCTGAAGTCCAGTTGATTAAATAAATGAAAAATTGTGTAATTGGTAATGGTGAACATAAATCTACAGGTTGTTGTTTAAAAACCCATTTGGTTCACCTAATATCCTGTAGGGAATTAAATGTACTAACCTTACTGGGTCTGGCTTATATGTAACTACAGATTCACAACAATGTAGTTAATTCTAAATTGTTCTCTAAAATAGCCTATCAAATTCTCAGTTGTCAAGAATGCAGCTCACAAATACCTTCTTAAGGGAAATTAGGGATGGACAAGAAATATTAGGCTTATGAATGAATAACAAAAAGTGCCACATAAAAGTAGCTGATGCAGAGATGTAATACTTACTTAGCACCTCTTTGAAAAAAGTAAAATGTATTCTTCTCTGATGATTTCATGGTATCTTGCGTTTAGATGATTTATTAATTGTGATCTAGTTTCCTTAAACCTGGAACTAAAAATGATTGTGTTTGCACTAGGTGCGAAAACTGGAACTGGAGCGAGAACAACAAAGAGTTCTACTGGAGAGCCTCCAGCAGCAGCACAATAACGACTTGGAGCTGATTGAGAATGCACACAGGTGAGGTAGAATAGGCATGAACTGGAACAGGGAGAGACAAAAGGTAATGCAGAAAAGGGAAAATCTTTCTTTTTTTTTCCCTTTAACATTAACATTCCAAGGTACTTTGCAGGAATGTTAACAAACAGAAACCAAAAGAACTGCGGATGCTGGAAATCAGAAACAAAAACAGAAATTGCTGGAAAAGCTCAGCAAGTGTGGTAGCACCTGTGGAGAGAAATCAGAGTTAATGTTTCGGGTCCAGTAACCCTTCATCTGTCCTCAATTCTTTTCCAGCAGTTTCTGTTGGTTGTTAACGAGCAGCAATTTGACATGGAGCCAAATAAGGTGATATTAGGACCGATGATCAAAAGTCTAGTCGAACAGATAGATTTTAACTGGTGTTCTAAAAATAAATTGTTCTAAAGAAGGTGAGAGGTTTAGGAGGAAAATTCTAATGCCTGCAGCCCAGGAAGTTGAAGGCAGGGCCTCAGGTAAAACTGCCTAAGCTGAAAACAAGAAGGCAATTAAAAGTGCTTAAAAATTAATTACTTCTTTAATCTCTTCCAAGTGTAAAACCTGATAGCTGCTGAACCATGGCCGCACCACAGAATTAGAACCCTTTTTGGAGGTGGGCTCTTAATGAACTTGCCACAATTTATAAGAGGTTGTTAATAGAAATGGGACTGTTTGGGGCCTACTCCCTTTCGTTCCCTTGGGCAAGGTGGGATTTCTGGCTGAGCTGCTTGTCAGACATTTTGTTTGTCATCCCACCTCCATGCCCATCTGGTTTTGGATGGCAAAATTTCAGCTCCGGTGTTGTTCTAATAAATGTGCACTGCTATTCCTCCCAAGGACAAATATACTTCCTAAAGTTGTGCCCAGAACAGCTCACATCCTAAGCGCACAAGATTCTGGATGAAACTCAGTTCCAAAGAATAGTCATATTCAAGTCAATTTTTACCATGTTTCACTCTCTAAGAGCTGCTGAGTCTCTCCAGCACATCCTGTTTTTATTTCAGATCTCCAACTTCCACACTACTTTGCTTTTACAGAGTAAAGCTCCCCCTGATTATTCCATCAAACTCATCCAGATTAGGCACAGCGTGTGCAGAGGCCGCAAACCGGGATTATAGACTGACTGTAACACAGACTGGAGGAGAATGCAGAAACAAAGTATTATGGGAAATTTAAAACAAATGCAGAAAATGCTGGAAATACTTGGGTTTCAACAGCATCCCATTGTTGAAAATTCAGGTGTGATGGGCTGAAATAGGAAGGGATTAAATTGACCACCTCTTTCTGTTATCCTTCCTGCCAGAAACCGCTTGAAGGTAATTGAAGAATCTTATCAGCAGCGGGAGGCTAGACTCCAAGAAGAGAACCGAATTCTCTCTGAGCAGTCTGTAGCCCGACAACTGAGCTTGGATCGGGAGAGATCAGAGCTGACTGCCCGGTACCAGCGCAAACTCACTGAGTTTGAGGAAGAGAAAGCCAAGGAGAAGGAGCGACTCCGGGAACTACAACGGTAAGAGGAAATGGCTGCATTTCATTAGCGCTGACTGTTTCACTTGCCTCATTTAACAAATAAAACTATTCTTACCACCGACACTATCCTCACTGCCATGACCTAGAAGCCTTTAAGTGCTAGCTGTGAATTCTATGCTAAATTTGTATTTTAGCTCGTGAACTTTCATTGGGTGTCAACAGCCTATTCAGCCATCAAGAGTTTGCATCAAGGCTGATGCTGTTCCAACTCTGGCCATAGAGGTGCACGCTTCAGGAGTAATAGGGATCAGTTGCAGAAACCATGTTCAGTTATTTCTTTCCCTCTGAGGACAACTGTAACGCTGCAGTTAAAGTTAGTTAGGCCAACTCAGATGTGAGTTGAACTTGGTACCGCCCACAACCCATTAAAGGAATTTCAGATCTTTCCAACAAAAAGGCATTAATCTTAAATGCCAAAAATATTAACTACCGGGGAAACATGGTTTTATATTTATGTGCTTCAGCATTGCTGACCTCTATTCTGCAGTCAGTCGATCCTGGATATGCGAAAGGAACACGAGGAGCAGCTGCAGTATGTAAAACAATTGAAGGAACAAGAGATCGATGCGGTGACCAGTGCTTCCTCACATACAAGGTAACATCATCTGAGTGTTCAGTACAGCTCACATTTTCAGTGTAGTTCCAGGCTTGTATTTGAGTAAGCAGAAAGAAAATGTTCCTTGTAACTGTCATGAAGGGCAGAGGTACTGAAGGAGAGCATGGGGCAGCTTTATCTTTATTCATTCTTGGGATGTGAGAGTTGTCACTTATTATTCATCTCTAAATTGAGGGCCTTGCTGGTCACTTCAGAGGAAACCAGTTGTTATTATCCCATCCAACATAAACTTGACTCTAACCTGCTTGGATGACCTGTGGATTGAAACACAGCTTATTTGCAAAGTTCATAAGCTCACTTACCATTTAAAAGTCAAAAATAATTCCATAACAGCTTTAATAACTTAAAACTGTATGTAGAATACCTTTTCTGGTCCTGTACAGCCAGAATATTATTAGTTATATTTATAAAGGAGTGGAGTCTCATAGAGGAATAGAGAACAGTATCCTGCCCAGGAGAAATTAAAATATTAATCACTGTGCGGCTGAGGGTTGAGAAGAAAGCTCTTCTGTGAGCTTGCTAATTCTCTAGTCATATTTTAGGAGATAAAACCACATTCCCTGTAACCCATTCAGTGTTAATCTAAGCCTAACTTTCATTCTCCTCTTGCTATGTGATATGCACAAGACGGTTCCTAGGAAGCAGAGCTACCGGTCTTTTCTTCCACATGTTTCTCCTTGCAAAAGGCACCGAGCGTATCACTGGGTGGCAGTTCCTTATTGCGTATTACCTGGAGTGCAGTCAGGTCTGATCCTGTCCTCTCTCAATCCCTATTGTGATGAGGGTTCATGATATACTGTTATCATTTGGAAACTTGCATTATAAAGTGGAGGAACAAGGTAAAGATTTAGATTTGGTTTGGTTTTCTACACTGGGTGGGTTAACAGAGAGACCGAGGGGTTCAGGTACATAGTTCCTTGAAAATTGCATCAAGGTAGACAGGGTAGTGAAAAAGGCATTTGGCACACTCCTCTTCCATTGCTCAGAACATTCAGTATAGGACGTGGGACATCATGTTGCAGTTGTACAGGATGTTGATGAAGGCACTTTTGGAGTACAGTGTAAAGTTCTGGTTGCCCTGCTATAGGAAGGATATTATTAAATTGGAAAGGATGCAGAAAAGATTTGAGGATGTTCCTAAGCCTGGAGGGTTTGTATTTTAAGGAGAAGCTAGATAGACGGACTTTTTTCCCTGCAACATAGGAGTTGAGGGGTGATCTTATAGAGGTCTATAAAGTCATGAGAGGCATTGATAAGATGACTAGCAAAGGTTTCTCCCCAGGATAGGGGAGTTCAAAACTAGAGAGCATAGGTTTCAGATGAGAGGAGAAAGATTTAAGAGGGACCCGAGGGGGGTGCTTTTCACACAGACAGTGGTTCCTATGTTGAACAAACTGCCAGAGGAAGTGGAAGATGCCTGTATCAGTTATGACATTTAAAAGACATGTGGACAGGTACATGAATAGGAAAGGTTGAGAGAGATAAAGGCTCAGTGTGGGCAAATGGGACTAGTTTAGTTTAGGAAACCTGGTCAGCATGGACGAATTGGACCAAAGGGTTTATTTCCATGCTGTTTGACTCTATGACCCTGTCAGAAAGAGGAGACATGGTTTTGGTTTGATTTTTGGGTTCGGAATTTTGCTGGGGTTTCTGGAAATATTTTTACCTCTTAATGAAGTGTTAAGTCCTTGAGGTGAACAGTTTGGTACATTAGGGAAAAATGATAGAAAGAAAAAAAACTGCAGTTGCCTGGAGAAAGGAGTGCAGTATCACAGAAAGGCAGAAACATTCAGAAATAGTGTGCAGCCAAAGAGAAAAGGTATTTAGCAGCAGAAATGCTATTAATACCTGTCTACAAAGCAGTCAGGAATGTGAATAATCTTCAGAATTTCTTCAGAGATTTAGGGTCCCAACCTGAAATATCAGCTTTCCTGCTCCTCTGATGCTGCCTGGCCTGCTGTGTTCCTCCAGCTCCACACTTTGTTATCTTTGACTCCAGCATCGGCAGTTCTTGCTATCTCAAACTTTATTGATTGTTTGGTTAAATGTACATTGGCAGCTTCTTGTGAATATGTTCACTTTGACCACCACAGTAAACAAATAGTAAAAATAAAATGTATGATCTGTCAAGCCAGGTTTCATTCTGGGATTTGACTTGTCCACTATTACCATCAGTTGGGATCATTACTGTTTTGTTGGAACCATAAAAACATAGAAGATAGGAGCAGGAGGCGGCCATTCAGCCCTTCAAGCCTGCTCTGCCATTCATCATGATCATGGCTGATTGTCCAACTCAATAGCCTAATCCTGCTTTATCCCCATAACCTCTTCCCCAAGTGCTATATCTAGCCGCCTCTTGAATACATTGAATGTTTTGGCATCAACTACTTCCTGTGGTAATGAAATCCACAGGCTCACCACTCTTTGACTGAAGAAATGTCTCTTCATCTCTGTCCTAAAATGGTCTACCCTGAATCCTCAGACTGTGACCCCTCGTTCTGGACACACCCACCAACAGAAACATCCTCCCTGCATCTACCCTGTATAGCCTGTTAGAATTTTATAAGTCTCTGAGATCCTCCCTCATTCGTCTGAACGCCAACAAAAACAATCCTAACCTAGTCAATCTTTCCTCATACGTCAGTCCCACCGTCCTTGGAATCAGCCTGGTAAACCTTCGCTGTACTCCCTCGAGAGCAAGAGAATCCTTCCTCAGAAAAGGAGACCAAAACTGCACACAATATTCTAGGTGTGACCTAAGAAAGCTGGTTAGCAAAAAATAAAACTGGAGCCATTCTTCAAACACTTTTCTACTTATTTACAGAGCTGTAGATTGCATACAAAGACCTTTCAATCCCAACAACCACAGTTATTTATAGCAACTGAAACACCAGAATGCTACCAGCTGCACACATTCAAATACAATTAACATACAGTTAATAGTCCCTCTTTCTGCGCAGTTTCTAGTTGGTGTTGCTGGATGGTGATCAGGAATCTAGGTTGAGTTTTCTCATCTGGAATCCAGAGTCCTGCAGCATTTGTGGCTCTGCCATTGGATCAGCAAATCAGATCAAACCTTGATCCTAGCCGGGTGGTAGGATTCCAAAGCGAGCATTTAATCTCTTCCAAGTGACATCAATCTTTCAATTTAAATTCATTTTATACCAGTTACATGATTAGGAACATCCATCATACTTGGCAGCCTCACAGTAACATCAAGGATCTCTAGTTTCTGCTGCGTTTGGTGGATTTTATGTAGAATAATTGTGAGTTTTATAGATGGGAGTCAAATCAAATGGATATAAAAATATTTAGATTAACAGATACCTGTATGTAATTAAGAATATAATCAAGGCTGGGCACTAATTACATGGTTTGATTGGTTTATACATAACATAACAGCTAACTAGTTATAGGCTGGAATTAAATTGAATGTCCTGGATTGTTTAGTGTAATATAATGATTGTTTGTAATTTGAGATGTTATAAATCAAGAAGCTAATTTTCCTGTTTGCTAATGTTTAAAGTACCAGTTGCTATTCCAATATATCTTGCCCTAAGACCTTGGCTGGGTGTATTGAAAGTTATATTCTAGTCTTCCTCCTCAATGTTCTCATGCAGGTCACTCAGTAATATCATTGAACAGATGGCGGTCTTTTCTTCAAAGCTGAATGACCTGTCCTATAAAGTGGAAAGCACTCATCAGAGCACATCCCATGAGATGGAGATCAACGCAAGGCAACGAGAGGAGCAGCAGCGAGGTAGTAGATATAGAATGGGAATTAATCATTTGCTAACACGGAGCTGATCGATACTCAAAGGTTTTACACTGTTCACACTCCTGTAGATATTGCCAAAAGAAAGTGTCTGGAAGGAACACTTTTGTGACCGCAGGATGTGCCAAAACACTTCACAGCTAACTACGTACTTTTGAAGTGTCACCCTCATTGCAATGTAGAATATGTGGCTCTTAATTTGCATGTAGCAAGATTTCACAAACAGCAAGTAGGAATGGCCAGGGATAATTAGTAGCTAGGACTCCACTGTTCATATTTAAATAGTGCCATGGAATATTTTATGGCCACCTGAACTGGTACATGACTTCATCCAAAAAATGATATTCACACAGTGCAGTACTCCCTCAGACCACTAGATTTTGTTCTAAAGACTCCCGAATGGGACTCAAACCCTTACTTACTGACTGGGGGATAAAAATGCTGGCACAAAATCTTGTTTGAGAAGGTGCTTCTAATAAGATCACTAGTTTTGAACGATGTTGATGTTCAATCCAAAAAATAGTCCTGCCAATTTTGTCAACAAAATGCTTTGGTTCCAGCCAGAGGTCCAATTGGCAAGTCTCTGGTAGTTAAACCCTGGTAATTAATAAAATATTTTGTGTTATCTTGGAATTGGTTAAAAAAAATTAAATGCATAACTTTTGAACTACATAGAAATAGTGGTGGAGCTTGGGAGTAGGGGATGTAGTCAAAAATTGAGAGCCAGTCCTTTCAGGGTGAAGTTAGGAAACAATTCTTCGTGCAACTTGAAAATTTGAAGCTCTTTTCCACAAATAGCAGTGATTCCAGGTCAACAGTTAATTTTAAAACTGAGATTAATAGACTTTTGTTGGTGTAGGGTATTAAGGGATATTGTGTGATGCAAATAAATGTAGTTGGGTCTCTGATCAGCAATGATTCGTTTGAATTGGTGGAGCAGGCTCAAAGGGTTAACTGGTCTTTTCCTGTCCCTATATAACTACTTCTCTGAAAGTGCCCTTCTCAGCAGAGAAATGTTTAATTTAAAGATTGTGATATCATCAATTAATTTAGTTTTGTTTTGTAATAAAAATAATTCTACTATATTTCATACTCTGATTCAGTGAGGCTGCATTCAGTTTCCTGTTAGACATCTTGTATGTGGTCAGTATTACTTTTTTCTTTTAACTGGTTTCATATTTGGTCCATATTCCTTACTGGAAATCAGCAATTTTTGCTTCATTTGGCATCTTTCATTTGAAACTTTGTCAAAAGACTTTTTAAACTCCCTATAAAATATATCATAAGCGCTGCATGTGCTTTATCTGTCGTGTTCATAAGTATGTTAAAATGGCTTCTTGGACAAGATTAACCCTTTCTACGTCCATGTTAATTGCCTAAATTATTGCAATTGGAACACACTTTCAGCCTAACAATTAAATTGAATTTATTATTTTATCTGTTACTTGCTTTGGGTTTATGAGTCTGCATTTGCTGGCATTTGCAAATATTGTGTTGGTTTGCTTCCAGTCTGACAGAGTTTCACCATTACTCACTATTTCCGCAATATGGGTAAACAGTGCCCCCCAAACATTCCTGCTATGAGCATTTCATACATGCTAACTGCTTCAGTGAATCAGTCTTAAGCCCATAAATTTATGCAGCCCCTTTGTGAAGTCTGATTATTGACATTTCTTTCAGCACAACAGGACAGACTGATGCGGCAGCAGAGGGACCTGGAGGAGGAGAGAGCTCGCCTACAGGATGTTATCACCAAGATGGAGATCAGATTGAACGAACAAACACGACTTCTTGAGAAGGTAAGGGAGATAAATGTCAGAAGTGAGTTTATGAAGGAGCTCTGAAATGTTAGTATTCTGTTGGTGTTTCTTTTGGCCTATAGTGGGGCGAGTGATTGTGGGAATTCTAATTCCATTTTTTCCAATGTTATTTTGATCTCATTCTGAGCTTTGCCTACTGCTGGAGCCTTCAATGCCCTGGCTCATGGTATTTGGACACTCATGATGCATTTTGATTCTGATTCTGCACCATTAGATCGCAAGATTCACAGCAGATGCAGGCATCGCTTTGATTTGGAAACTAACCCCATCGCAGAGAATTGTGTTTCCTTCAGAGCTGTTCCCTCATTCTGTTCATTGTGAACTGCACGCAGTGGCCTAGCTGTGTTATCAGCACACACAATGCTGGGAAATATCATACTTGTGTTTTATGTGCAGGGTGAGATTTTGTAACATAGTGGATTGTGCCTTTGCCGTTGGGTTCTAGTCCCAATCCAGGACTTGTTGGCCTGGGAAAAAGTATCCGTGACACAAGCAGATTGATAGACAGCCTGCGAATGTTTCCAAAATCCTACACTATTTCAAAAAGGGAGTAAAGTGTGTGAGTGAGAGAAACAATACAAAACAAGCAGTGTGTGCCAATGGTTTGTTACTGTCCCACCTTCCTTGCCATACTAATGATTATTTCATTCCTGCTGTATTTGTTTGTGAAAGATGAGGGGCTAGTGAAATACCTCAGAGACAAAGGACTAGGGGCCACAAGAAGGTGATAAAACCTGGTGGTAACGGAGGAAGAAGCTCCCTGAACAGCTTGGCTGGCATCCAGATTGAAGGAATAACTGGCAAATTTCAGAAAATTGGACTTGTCCTTGTAATAGAGAAATAGAACAGGAGATATTATCTGGGGTCAGGGTCTGGAGAACACCCAAAGATTCTGATGTGGATAGAGGTGGCATTATAGTGAGTACCATCTCCATGAATCCTGGTTGACAGAACAGAAAGGAGCTTAATAACCTCATAGTACTGACTCTAATTTGATATCGCTTAATGAATACAACACTTCTTCACTCACTTTTCTCGCAGTTGTAGACTCTCAGCAGACACCAGCCCTCATCAACCAAGCCTGTGGACTCTGATGTCTGGAGATCTTTGCTATGATGCTAACTGAGCAAACTTCTGTGTTTGAAGGAACCGAAGGCTGTCTCTGAATACCTGAGACAGGCGGTTGGGGGATTTGTGAAGGCCAGTTCAATTGTGCTGAATTGTTTGGGGATAGTGGCAATGTAGTAGCAATATTTGGAGAGAGAGGCAGCATCATGAACATTTGTATCCAATCTCAACCATGAATCCTTTGTTTGAGTTGGGCAACCAAAGGAGCCACCTTGTCCATTGGCCTTCAGGGACTGTTTATCAAGAATGATAGAACATGTGCCCTGAGAGATTCAGCATACCATCTCACAGGGTCTACAGGTGTAGCTGGTACAAGATCCTCCCTCTGACCATAGAGATTTACAGCACAGGAAAAGGCACTTTGGCCCATTGTGTCCGTGCTGATCCAAAAGCAAACACCCAGTTATTCTAATTCCATTTTCCAGCACTTGGCACATAGCCTTGTATCCAAATGCTGCTTAAATGTTATGCACACCGTAGATGAAAAGGCTTTTCCTCACATTTCCTCTGTACCTTCTGTCCCTTCCTTAAATTAATGACACTTGGGCATTTATCCCTCCATCAGGGGCAAAAGTTTCTTCCTGTTGACCCTATCGGTGCAATGGCTCAGTGGTTAGCCCTGCTGCCTCACAGTGCCAGGGACCTGGGTTTGATTCCAACCTCGGGTCAATGTCAGTGTGGAGTTTGCACATTCTCCCTGTGTTTGTGTGGGTTTCCTCCCACAGTCCAAAGATGTGCAGGCTAGGTGGATTGGCCAAACTAAATTGCCTCATAGTGTCCAGGATGTGCAAGCTAGGTGGGTTAGCCGTGGAAAATGCAGTGATAGGGTAGGGTGGTGGGTTTAGGTGGGATGCTCTTTGAAGGGTTGGTGTGGGTTCCTTCCACATGTGGGGATTCTATGATCTATGCCCTTCATAATTTTATACATCTCAATCCTGTCCCCTTTCTGCTTTGTCCAATCTCTCTTCATAACTGGAACTCTGCAATCCAGACAACATCCTGGTAAATCTCCTCCTCTGCACAATCACATGAAACCATGTCCCTCCTAAAATGTAGGTTACAGGACTACTCTCAGTACTCTAGCTGTGGACTAACCAATGTTTTACACAATTCCAATATAACCTCCCTGCTCTTAAACTCTAAGCTTCAACTAATAAAGGCAAGTATACCCAATGCCACCTTAACCACTTTGCCTATATGTCCTGATACCCTAAAGGACTGGTGTACATGCACATGATACTTCCTAGGATCCGACCGTTTATCATGTATTGTTTGTTTGTCCTACCAGTGGGCACTTGTATTCATGCCTGGGCACATGTAGCAGTGCTGGAGCCCACCTTACTGATGTTGTTCTCTCTTGTGACACAGTCTCAGGTGCCAGTCCAAGTAGGTATTGAGATAGCAGACCAAGCTGGCCACACATCAGAAGAGACCATGCAGACTGCCTTGAGCTGAGATGAGTTTCCCTGATCAAAGAAATTCGTGAGAAAGAAGCCTGGTAACACTGGTGTCCTTGGTCCTCGGGCATCACCTCAGGGCAGGATCAGAACGTGATTAATAGCAATTCAGAGACATACTAGGATGCATGATAAAAATAGATTCCTGTAGTCACAGTATATTTACAGTGTAAAACCACTTCGAGGTATGGTCAGTATTTTAAAATCACTTTATTCTTAAGGTTTTTATGTTCAATAGGATGTTTGGAGGTTGCTTTCCAGTGTGAGATGCGGTTCCCTCATTGTCTCCTTATCGCACTATTACATCCTTAAGCCAACTTTGGCTGAGATATCATTAAGGGTGCATGGGAGTCTAAGGATCTTCTCAGTGATGCTTACTAAGCAATGGTGGTCTTTACTGTAGCATTATCCTCTGTTTCTTTATCATTTCCTTTCTCCTATTCCCTGATCTGTTTCTATTAATAGGACAATATATAAGAATAACTAGAGTGGGCCCATTGTAAAGACTCCATAACAGAAGTGTGGCAAACAAAATGTTTTCCTGCTTGATTCTGAAGGAAGGCAGTTTTCAGAATACTTCCTTGGCAGCACAGTAGATAAGTCTTTTTTTATATATGTTGCAAATAAATCTTGCATTTTAAAGTTTGTGGACATATCAAGTCCACAGTCTTAAGTCATTTACATAACTTACATTACTACAAAGTAAACATAAGTCAGGTGCAATCTTGGTGTAAACAGCAGAATCTCTGGGACATCCAGCTGTTTGCATATTTGGAGTGAGCACATAGTCATAGAGCTGCATAGCGCGGAACAGGCTCTTCGGTCCAATTCGTCCAAGCTGACTGGATTTCCGAAATTAATCTAGTCTCATTTACCAGCATTTGTCCCATATCCCTCTAAACTCTCCCTATTCGTATACTTATCCAGATGCCTTTTAAACATTGTAATTGTACCAGCCTCCACGACTTCTTATGGCAGCTCATTCCATACACGCAACACCCTCTGCATGAAAACATTGTCCCTCAGCTCCCTTTTAAATCTTTCCCCTCTAAGGACAAACCTATGCCCTCTAGTTTTGGTTGCCCGCCCGCCCGCCCCAGAGAAAAGACCTTGGCAATTCACCCTATCCATGCCCCTCATGATTTTATAAACCTCTATAAGGTCACCCCCTCAGCCTCCGAAGTTTCCGGGAAAATAGCCCCAGCCTATTCAGCCTCTCCCTATAGCTCAAACCCTGACAACATTCTTGTAAATCTTTTCTGAACCCTTTCGAGTTTCACGACATCCTCCCCATAGCAGGGAGACCAGAATTGCACCCAGTATTCCAATAGTGGCCTAACCAATGTCCTGTACAGCTGTAACATGATCTTCCAACTCGTAAACTCGATGCACTGACCAATAAAAGCAATTGTACCAAACACGTCCTTAACTGTCCTGAATACCTTGGACTCCACTTTCAAGGAACTATGAACCTGCACTCCAAGGCTTCTTTGTTCAGCAACACTCCCCAGGATTTTACCATTAAGTGTATAAGTCCTGCCCTGATTTGCCTTTCCAAACATCAGTTGCTTGCTGACGGTTTGGAATAGGTATAATACTGGATGCAAATTCTAGCCTCCTATTCTGGAACTACGCTGCTTCTGGACTTTCAAAATTAGCAATTCTGATCCCTAATTTTGATTGCTTCTGTCTGAAGGCATCAACTTGATGATCTATTTGCATTATTCTGCCCTATAAAATGCTGCATCAGTGGGACATGTAAGAATGCATCCTGTAGGGATAATTTTATCATTGATACTGTAGTTTGTGAGGTATTTAACAGATTCTTGGGTCAAAATCACCCATTTTACTATTCCAGCTGGCAGTGTTGTGTCATTGCTGAGTGACAGGTACACCTTCCTTCCAACCAGAGGGATCGTCTATTGAGCCAGCCCTTGGACTTTCACTGAAGCAGGGGGAATATCCTTGGTGCTGGCAGTGCTCCCCCAAGTCCAATTTCAGCTTGTGAAGAGCCGCTCAGCTGCCCTGCTCCCAGATTTTCAGTCCCTTGAGCCCCCAGAGATGAACTTCAGCCTCAGTCAGACCATCTGTACATGCACAGCCACTGTGACAGCATTACATATGGAACGTAGTGATGTGAACTGTGTATGTACAGATTCCTTTTGTTTCGGGGACATCTGTCACCAGCAACTGGCAACACCTGAGCCATTTGTGCAGGCGGCCAGATTGATCACTCAAACCCTGAAAAGGTGGTCAAGATTTGTAGCTCAGGTTTTGGTGTGTTCGCCGAGCTAGGAGGTTTGATAGCAGGCGTTTTGTCCCCTTCCTAGGTGACATCCTCAGTGCTGTGAAGCACTGTTGTCTTGTGCCGGTTTGAATTTATATGGTCCGGGTTTTGCTGCTTCTGGTAGGTGCCCGTTCCAGTTGTGCATTGTAATGGTCAGTATATAACTTCAATGCAGAGACTGCACAAAACACTACGTGGGACAAACAGGCAGACAACCGGCACCCCGCATCCACAAACACCAGCTATCAACTAAACGACACGACCAGATGTCCTTGGTTTCAATACACACAGACGAGAAAAACCACACTTTCAACTGGGACAACACTACTATCGTAGGACAAGCCAAACAGAGGACAGCCAGGGAATTTTTGGAGTCTTGGCATTCATCTGTGGACTCCATCAACAAACACATTGAATTAGACCTGATATACCGACCGTTACAACGCACAGCCGGAACTAGCATCTACTGAAAGCAGCAAAAACCAGACCATGTAAATTCGAACCGGCGCGACAACAGCGCTTCGCAGGAGATTCCACAGCACTGAGGATGTCACCTAGTAAGGGGATGAAACGGCTGCTATCAAACCTCCCAGCTTGGCGAACACACCAACACCTATAATTATCCTCCACTGTGTCTCCTCTCTTGAACCTAACCCTCTTAATGTATTGGTTTGATGCTAGTCTTCATCTGATGGCATCAATCAGTAGCACAGTATTTAAGATGTATGTTTGGTGATGTTAATTGTGAAAATGGCACTTCTCTGATCAGGACATAGGTGGCTGCATGGGCTGTGATGGGTTTTGTGCTGTGTAATTCTGTGCAGGAGCGCTGGCGAGCAACAGCTGAACAAACCAAAGTGGAGTCAGTGCAGAGGTCCCTCGAGGAGGAACGCAGAATCATGAACCAGCATTTCACCATAGAGAGGGAGGAGCTGGAAAGGGCAAAGGTAAGGCAGGAACTGCTGAGAGCAGCCAACTTCCCTCACATGAAATGTCTCACATCCGCTAAAGGCTTTTATTTTTGTTCATTCATGGGATGTGCTTGTCATTGACTAGGCAAACCTTGTCCAGCCTTAATTGACCCAGAGGGCAGTTAAGAGTCAACCACATTGCTGTGGGTCTGGAGTCACATAGAGCCAGACTGATAAAGATGGCTGATGTCCCTCCCTAAAGGCCAATAGTGAACCAGATGATGTTTTACAACAACTGAGTGTTTCATATTGCCATTAGACTAACTTTTATTCCAGATTTTTATTGAGTCCAAATTTCACCATTTCTGTCATGGCAGGATTCAAAGTTTTATCCCCAGAATGTTATTCTGGATTGAGTCCATTGATATTACCACTAGATCCCACATGACAAATATCCTCCATCAACAGCTGAACTGTGCGGAACTTAAAGAAGACACACGTCCCCAGGACAGTCCCTTAACCTTTAATGAAAAAGTTGGTCTCCGCCAGAGCAGTGTTTTGGACATTGATTCCTTCAAAATGTCCATTTTAATCAGGCAGGATTCTTTCTCCTCATCAAAACAAAAAAGACTAAAGAACTGTAAATGCTGGAAATTAGAAACAAAATCAGAAATTGCTGGAAGATCTCATCAGTTCTGTCATCACTTGTGAAGAGAAAGCAGAATTAATGTTTTGGATCCAGTTCTGAAGAAGTAGCTGTTTGCCAAGCTAGGCCTTAACTTCCCTTTAAGATAATTCCTTTCCATGGAGGAAGCATGGTGATAATCTATTGAAAATCCTCCACTCCATAGAGTGCAGCCAACCAGTTATTTCTAGGTGATACAGTTAGCTCCTGTGAATGTGAGGCAATGGATGAGGAAATAGTGTGGTGTCGCGAGTGAATACAGAAAGCTTTCCAGATTTTGCAGTGATTGCGTGGGGCTTACAACATCTTCCCATGTTGTTACATTCCCTCAGAATTCTTTGCTGGAGGAGCAGCAGTCAGTGATGCAGCGCTGTGCAGAGGAACGTCGAAGACTGGCAAGTGAGTGGGCAGAGTTTCACACACAACAGAAACTGAACAGTGAGCGGATAGAGCGAGGTGCCAACCGTTCCCTCCAGCTCAATGCACAGCAGGAAGGAGCAGTCTTCACTCTGGCAAAAGTAAGGGAGTAACATATGCCTTATGGACACCTCTGGCTTGTGTGGGAAATAACCCCTCTCTGTGGGCATTATTACAGAAATTAGTTTTCCTTGGGCCTACGAAATGGACTTCCTTTGCCCTGTATGTGTTTTATCTCAAGAACTGAAAGTTCCTACACCCGTGTATATGTATTTTAGAGGGAATGAAATGAGTTGCGGTTAGATACATGTTTTTAAAGGGGTAAGAATTTGAAGAGCTCATTGACCACTCAGATTGAGGAGCTATAATTGCTTTCCTCCATCCATGTCTAAGTGGAGGCAGGGGATTTAAGAATTGTGGGGAGGACCTAATTCCAGGATTCTCATCCCCATTCCCAATGTGTGGATTTTTAGGGCCCTGCCCATTTCACTATTTCCACGGAGTTAGTCCCACTTGTGAACTATAGGGAATATGGGAAGCTATCAGGAGATAGATGGGACCTATTGAGGTTGTTGAGGTGCTGAGGGCCATGGTGTCTAATACCCATTTGCAGAACTAGGCTAATGTCCCAATGAATGGAGGCAGGTTTTCTAACCTGCTGACCTTGGGAATCACCCACCTACGTGTATGCAAAAATCTTTGTCTCTTGGTTTTTCTTCTTACTGTTCAAGTTATACAGTAATACATTTTACCGTGCAATGAAGATTTTCTACGCTAACCGATAGTCAACATAGTGGTCTGGAATTTGTGGCAAAGCACTAGACCTTTTCAGTTACACAACCGAATACACAAAGTAACAAGAATTTGACAGATATAAGTTAATGTAAGCAAAATGTCAATTCCCATGTATTTTCCTTTGACTGGAGTTTCACCAATGTCTGCGATTTTTCTGATGTCTTGATATCAATGTACACATCAATCCTTTCTTTTTAGGGCATAGGTGATTTGAGTGTGCAGGCCCTTGAAATATTTTTGCACCCACACAGGAATTTTCAGCTTGGTCAGCTTATTCCTCAACCACTGTGGCTTGTCAATCTGCACATATCGGCTTTTCAATTAAGCCATTCTGGCCACAAACCTAACCAAGGCATTGACCTAAGCCAAGAAGACCCATCCAGGATAGCTGATACGTTTGTTCTGTATTTCGATCATGTCTAACATGGGAATAAAAAGAATCTCCACTGATTTAACTAAGTGAATCCATTTTAGCTGGTGTTTTCACAATCCGTCCAAAATCACTTAATACAAAATACAGAAATCTTTCAGTTCTGCCAGTCATGTATTTTCAGGTGGTAGTTTTAGGGTTAAATACTTCTGAATATTCTTAAAATATATTGGAAAAGTACAGAAACTGTTCTTGCCCCGTAGGAACAAGCCGAGCTGAAGGTGAAAGCTGCTGAACTGAAATCAAAAGGGGAACAGTTAGCTCGAGAACAAGAGATTCTAAATCAAGAACGTCATGAACTGCAATTGGAAAAGGAGAGAGTCAACGCCATGGCAATCCGCATCAAGCAGAGGGCTGAGGAAGTTGAGGGCATGAGTAAGGTGTGGGAAAACTGATCTTATTCACCACATTAACATGTTGCGTGCATGCCGGGATTCAAACTTCTGTGTGAAGCAGATTCTGAATATCTAAGTTGTGAATTATATGCATCTTGTTGCCTGAGGAAGAAAAGAAACAAAGGTCATTTTGAGGCCCGCTTCTGAAAGGGTAACTTTTTAAAGAGTGTATGATTGTCATGATGGTCAATATCATCTGTTTATCAAGCATTGTTTAACAGTGATGGAAGAGTATGCAGATTGCAAATCATCCTGGGATCCAGATACGAGGTCCTTTCTTCTCTGGGAAAGCTGTCACTAAAACTAGTTGTATTGTTTAGGGTATTGAATAAAGGTTAATTGAATGAAATTGTTCGCACCCTTAATAGAGTCATAGAGATGTACAGCAAGGAAACAGACCCTTCAGTCGAACTCGTCCATGCCGACCAGATATCCTAAATTAATCTAGTCCCATTTGTCAGCATTTGGCCTGTATCCCTCTAAGCCCTTCCTATCCATGTACCCATCCAGATGCCTTTTAAATGTTGTAATTGTACCAGCCTCCACCACTTCCTCTGGCAGCTCATTCCATACACACACCACCCTCTACTTGGAAAAGGTGCCTTGTAAATATATCCTTGTAAATCTTTTCTTAATCTTTTGAAATGGGATGCCATATTGTAAGAGAAAATGCTTGTTGCCTAGGTAACTCACACAGACTCTCCTTCACTGCTACTTCTGCCAATTTTGAAATAACAAGTAGGATGATAAAATACTTGACCCAAAGTATCTGAGGAGGCTAAACTGCTAAATCTAGTAACTTTTCTCAAACACCAGTACCACTTCTGGCTTGCAAGCTTTCATTAGATGGAAGATGTGAGCCTATAACGTTGACAATATAAGTCAGCCATTTTTGACATGTGCAAGATAGGCTGTTTAGAGACGCTGCTACAGATGTCTCCTCACTAAAGTAATTATGAACTACACATTATACATTTCCATCTGTCCCTTTGTCTTGTTGGGGTGCTGTTGTTTTCTTTTCAAATAAAATTAATTCTGTTCCTAATCGTTCACTGGCTATCTCCATTTGTGGTAAACACTGAGCCACATGGACTCTTCTGGTTACTTTGTAAAATGTTAAATGTCAAACTTGGCTACTGTTGTTTGTTTTATGGATATTAGATTTATCTATGTATTTGACATGATGGTTGTATTTGTCATTATTCCCCCATAACATTCATCACCATTTGAGGGAACAGACTTGAGGATTGATCTTGTACAATGTCTTCACGCACATTAATTTAGCAGACTCTTGAAGTAACCATCTGTCTTTATTCTTTCCCCCTTGCAGCTTGCCTCTCAGAAATATGAGGAAGGCGAACAAAAACTTATGGAGGCGAAACAGGTGGAGTCTGAGCACCAGGCACGGCTGCATACTATCCAAAAACATACAGAGAGACTACAGCAGCAGGAGCAGCAGCTGTACCAGGTACCACAGGGGAGGGAGGAGAGAAGAAAGGTACAGCAAGTGGGGAGAAGCTAGTTTTGACTTGATTTACTGTTGTCCCATATACCTAGGTACAGTGAAAAGTTTTGTTTTGTGTGCAGTACAGGGATAATCATACCATACAAAGATCATCGGGTAATTGAACCGAGCAAGGAATTCAAAGTTACAGCTGCAAAGAAGGTGCACTAAAAGCAAGATCAACATTAAATTTAAAATTTGAGAGGTCAATTCAGAAGTCTAATAACAGCAGGGAAGAAGCTGTTCTTGAACCTGTTGCTACATGTGTATAAGCTTTTGTATCTTATGCCTGATGGAAGAGAGTATAACTGGGGTGGGAGGGCTCTTTGTGTTGGCTGCCTTTCCAAGGCAGCGAGAAGTGTAAATGGCATCCATGGATGGAAGGTTGGCCTCCGTGATGGACTAGGCATGTTCTCAACTCTCTAATTTCTTCCTGTCCTGGGCAGAGCTGTTGTTGTACCAAGTCGTGATGCATCTCGATAAAATGCTTTCTAAGGTACATCTATAAAAGTTGGTGAGAGTCCTTAATGCCATGCTGAATTTCCTTAGCCTCCTGAGGAAGAAGAGGCATTGTTGTGCCTTCTTGACTGTCGCATCAACATGGATGGTCCAGGACAGGTGGTTGTAGGTATTAGCATTGAAAGAGAATACTGCAAATGAGAGAAGTGATGAACAAAGGGAGGGAGGGAGCTATTGCAAATGGATAGAAACAATGAACAGATACTCTTGCTAATCAAGGTGCAGCCAGCCCAGAGGTATGCTAAATGGGGAGAAAAACATTACACAGATAGCGTGGCAGAGAGGACTAGGTCATACACTTCAAATGAGAAACAGGAACAGCAACACCTAGCACTGTAGGAAGAAAGGAATAATAGGTTTCTTTTGGTTGGAAGATTAGGGCCACCTAGTTTCACTTGATATGACAAGGAAGCTGCCCTAGTAACTAACCAACTTGACTAGCTGAGTAGTGATATTAAGCTTACTTTTGAACTGCTGATATCTTGTGGGAAAGTCGCTGTGATTGAGTTAACTGTATGTAGAATAAGTTCAATATACCATATGCCTGAGTTAATCTTCTATCATATACTGTTTGGTGCAACTACCAAGTGTACTGAAGTACAAAATAAACACTTAAATTAGTTAAAGTCAACTGATGAATTTTACAATCCATTGCTGATTGAGTAACTTGGCAGTGAATGTGGATTCAGCAGGAAGTGTGCAGGAAGACATCAAGATTAAATGTTCTCAATTGTTGCACAGTGTCCACTTACCAATAAGTCAGCAGCCTTTGTTTTCATGCTATATAAATTGTTCCTCCCTTTAAAATTGGTATTCTTGTGTCTGTCCTGATGAGTGCAAAAGATGAAAATTTTTGACAGCATGTCTCTTAGCAATACTCAAGTTCTGTACTAGCAGGTGACTCAGAAGTAGTTTATTTTCTGGAAGATTTTGAAATGCTTCACCTTCAAAATATGAAGCTTTAGTACCTGAAGTAATACAGCATTACAAACCAAAGATAAAGCTGATCTTTCAAAACAACATTCTTAAGGTGTTCAACGGTCGCAAGCAATGACAGAAGTACAATTTGAAGAACAGATATCTGTTGCTAAGTAGTTTGTGAATCAGTGAAGAATAAAATAATTATAGCTGTATTTTTATGTGCTTACAGAACAGTTTTCATGGAAGGTGCAATCAGTTTAGATTAGATGCAGTGGGTTGGACATAGACCTTTCACATCTGTGACCTAGGTTCACTGAGTCAAATTGGATGAAAGTATTCTTCCTAGAGGGGCTCGTATGCAGTTCCCTAAATAAATGGATCACTATTATTAACTAACCTTTATCTAGCAATTTAGCTTAAATGACCAAAGATGTTTAGTGTAGGGAAACTGAAATATGTGACATTAATACATTTAGGTTCTTCTCTTGGGGTAGGTCCTGTGGTATTATCGCTAGACTGTTAATCCAGCGATCAGGTAATGTTCTGGGGACCTGGGTTCGAAATCCGCAATACAAAATGGTGGAATTTGAATCCAATAAAAATCTGGAATTAAAAGTCCAATGATGACCATGAAACCGTTGCTGATTGTCAGGAAAAACCCATTTGGTTCACTAATGTCTTTTAGGGAAGGAAATCTGCCATCCTTACCTGGTCTGGACTACATGTGACCCTGGACCCACAGCAATGTGGTTGACTCTTAACAGCCCTCTGGGCAATTAGGGATGGGTAATAAATGCTGGTCCAGCCAGTGATGCCCATATCCCATGAATGAATAAAACAAAACTGGAGCAGAGACCTGGAAAAATTACTCTGCATCCACCTAGGAGTGGTTAGCGGCATATGGGAATTGCTGGATGCTAATTCAGATGAACAAGGGAAATGAAGAGAACAAATTACACACTTCTGTCTGAATATTTAAATTTCCAGGAGCGACTGAGTATAGCCCAGCAACGACAATATCCGCACAAACTTATAATGGGAATGCCCATCAGCACAATAACATCACATATCAGAAATCCACCAGTGTCCTTTGCCAATCAGACGTGTAAGTACTTTATTGAAACTCTGATTTCCTTGTGTTGGCTATGTTGCTCAGGCTGTGTGGTATGCTGTTCATTGTTTTGGAGCTGTCCGATTTGGTGCTCAATCCAACTGAAGCAATGCTCATTTTTCAAGAGGGCATTTCAGTTTGGGAAATGTAGGGCAATATTTAGGTGGCTGGGCCAAGAAATATGTTGATGCAATTCCAGACTATTGTGCTTCTGTCTTTCTACTCGGCAAATTTATTCCTGCTTCCTTCCTGTTAAATCGGGCATTTGTCCATTTCTTGCTTGAACATTAGGGTGGAACACACATTCCTGCACTAAGTAATATTTGTTCTGAAAATGTCAAGACACTGTTTAAATTTGCTTATTTCACAAATGCTCATGTGCCTTTCTTCTTCCTCTGCATTTTCTTTTTGCTTTCCACTCAAGTATTTCCAACCAGAATTTGCTTCCAAATCTCTTCTTTCTACAACTGTATTTTCAGGCTGCTCCACTTTCTAGGTTCTAATACTTGCTGTCATGGCCTAGTTCATCCTCCTTGACAGTTGCTGTGAGCTATTTTCACATTATGAACACAATACAAATGTAATCATGCATGATCCTACTCCTAATATCCATCTTTTTTTGCATTGCAACAGTGACTACACGATGAAATACCCATATCCATCTGCATCTCCAAGCTCTGCAATCTCTCACCATTTTGGCTGTAAGGCAGTTTGTGATGCCTCAAAGCCATGCCATATAAATGCAATTCCTTCTTTGTATGTTTTAAGTTTGTTATTTTATGGAGGATTAGAGAGATGTACATCATGGAAACAGACCCTTCGGTCCAACTCGTCCATGTTGACCAGATATCTTAAACTAATCTAGTCCCATTTGCCAGCCTTTGGCCATATCCCTCTTAAACCCTTCCTATTCATATACCTATCCAGGTGCCTTTTTTAATGTTGTAATTTTACCAGCCTCCACTGCTTCCTCTGGCAGCTCATTCCATAAATGCACCACCCTCTGTGTGAAAAAGTTGCCCTTACGGTCCCTTTACCCCCTTCATCTCAAACCCATGCCGTCCAGTTCTGGACTCCCCCCACCCCAGGGAAAAGACCCTGATCACTCACCTCCCTAACCTTATTTGCCAAGGCAATCTCATATTCTTTCTTTGCCTTCCTGATCTCCCTCTGAAGAATGCTATGGTCATTGTCCTCCAGATCCCTTTATTTTATATAAGAATTCAACGTGCTGAAACTATGCAGTTTTGCCAATATCAGAAAAAAAATGAGTTGATATTTGAAGCGTGGACTCTTCCCTTCATAAGAGTAAAATATTGAAATGTAATATTAGCTAGCTGTGTATTTCTGGCATTTCTTACTGATTTTCATCACTTTCAGATTTTTGTTTTTATTGCAACACTTCACTGTCTGCTTTACTCATTATCTCTGTTATAGGTCACAATCCATAGAATGTAGAAAAAGAAAGAACTTGTGTTTCACATCTTCAGGATGTCCTGAAGAACAGTACATTTGAGGAATTGTGTGGTCACGTGTTTTGTAGAGAGGGTGGCTGCCAGTTTTTATGGAGCAAGTCTCTCAACTATCAGTGGGATAAATGACCAGCCAATTTGCTTTGGTCATTCTTGAGGGAGAATTACTGGCCAGGACATGGGGGACCTTCAACTCATGTAATCTTATGTAATGGCTCTTTCAAAAGACAGGATCTAGACAATGTATCTGCCTCAGTACATCAGTTCAGTCACATCTCAGAATGTGTGATTAAGTCCTGGAGTAGCACTAAGAAACTATAGTTTTGTGATTGAGGTCAGACAGCCCCACTGAGCCAGGTTCACACTTGCTGTGCTACAAGTGGCAAGGAGATGCGTCTTCATGGACCCCCACCACTCTGTACCCTGCCTGGAAGAAACAGGTGGCTTTGGACCTACCCACCACTCTCCATCACTGGTTCTTTCCTTGCTTCATGTCTGGGTCTGTTCTAGATTAATCATGGAAATTGGTGTGTACTAATCAACAGCTCCATTATCACTCGCATGTCACTAACAGGATTCTAAACTATGAATGACCTTGTCTTTGTGTAATCCAGCAATTACTATGCTCCTGTTCATGTACTAAATGCCTTTGTCTGATTGAACTGATCACCTAGGGCAATTGTACAGCATGAGCAATCTTCTCAATTAAACCTCTTACATTTCATGATAAAAGGCTATGAGGATAATGATCCAAATATGTGACTATGGTAATCTCTGCCTTTAGTTCATACTGGGAACTCCTAGCTGTGGAAATGATGGCTTATCTCTGGACATAGAATATATTGAGGTTTAACTCTTTGTTTCCTCCTTATCAACTGCAAATCATTTTCGAATTGATGGTGTTTGTATCCTTTATTGTAAGATTTGTCATCCTGCAAGAGTTTGAACTCTGCGTTCATTGACCTTTCAGATCTCGCTCCAGTAATTAGTAATGCTCAGCATGGACTACCTGGGAATTCTCGATTGAGTAGCAAAGTTGAAACAACTGGACCTTCAGAATTGGAGGCCAAACTTGCAATTTTCAGACATGCTGCTAAAAAGGTGAGGTCTTTTGTTATGTCCTTAACCTGCTGTGTGTGAATGTTTGAGGAATGGTCTGGTGATACAGCAAGCATGGAACAATTATGTAACTGTGCTCGGTCAGCAACTTGCTCGCACAACAAAGCTCCTGGCTTCAGCTATCCTGATGCTATAAGGTGGAGAACAAGCAAAGGATATTAACCAAAATCATACAAGTTAGTCCAGGCAAGACTCCTTCTGGTTGCTTAACCCAAATCACAATGGCAAGAGTGAATGCTGCAGGGATGTTCAAGAGGGGAACACAATATCAATTATACAGGGATTCAATGGAGTAGTTGACCTGAGTAAACCTGCACCAACTGTGCCGAGGCCTGTAACTTATAAAGTACATCATTTGGATCTGATTTGCTGAAGGAGACTAGATTGTGAACAAGCATTTTGACAACATCAAGGCTGTGCAGCATGATACAGAAATGGAGCTGGTCGGCATCAGTAAAAGGTGGGACCGTGTTTGCATGATGTTGTATGGAGACCACATGTTGCTTCTTCGAGTTGATGAAACTCTCCAAGTGGATTAATAATCCTGGACCTCATCTAAATCACAATATATCGAAGTCATAGTACCTGAATTACCACATATTTTGGAATCTTTGAGGAGGAAATATGTTTTCAAACTTCCTCGCTTGAACAAGGCTGTGAATCTGTGGAATTCTTTACCATTAGAGGGCTGTCCAGGCAAGGTTATTCAGTTTTATTTAAAGCTTGAATAATAGATTTTTAATCAGTAAAGGAGTCGAGGGTTATATCGAAAAAGCAGGAAACAGAGTTGAGGATTATTAGATTAACCATGATCTCGTTGAATGGCAGAGCAGGATCTGCTCCTTCGTCTTAAGGATGAATTCAGCTTGTGGCCTTGGTTACCTTGGGTCTGTCTGCCTTCTATCTGCTATTCTGTATGTCTTGATAGGGAGTCTGCTCTGAGGTGAGATGGCTCTGCAATGTGACAAGGTTCTGCAATGTGACAACTACAACTGCTTCTACCTCTCACTGAGTCAGCCTCTATGTCCTGTTTGACTGCATAGGCAGCTCCTGAAAAATGAATCTAGATTCCCAGGGGTCTGTGGGACCCAGTTTGAGGGGTACACACAGGCATACATTGCTTTGCATTTGCAGTTGAATTCCCTGAATGTTTGCTAGGAGGAGGACCTTGAGGCAATTATTCCCTCCCTGTCCCAGCATTCTCAGAGGAAGTTGTCTTGCTGCCAGAGCTCTGGCTAAGATTTAGTTCAATTAGAATAGACCAGAAGTGTACCTTATAAAATCCGAAAGAGCTGGAGATGCTGTAAATCTGGAACAAAAACAAAGTTGCTGAGGAAGTGTCACCAGATCCGAAACATTAACTCTGATTTTATTTTCTTCACAGGTGTGCCAGACCTGCTGAGCTTTTCCAGCAACTTTGTTTTTATTCCAGAAACGTACCTTTCCTATCTAGTTATGTATCCTATATCAGATGGTCGTCCAGTCTCCCTAAGTGAACTTATGATTCATGATTTGGACGTGTCCCAGGATTAGCACATTGTAGAGTGAAACCAGTCCGGCATCAAAAGTATTCCCAATGGATCTGCACAAATCAATGAGGTCAACCCCAAAGTAATGCAGTCCAGAATGTAGTCAGCCCACTGTTAGCCCGTCAGTCACTGCGGCCTTTGTTTCTCTTTTACAGGACCGTGACTTCCTTGAAGATGAGCAGTTCTTCCTGGAGACACTAAAGAAAGCTCCATATAACAAAACTTCCCAAACAGTATAAGACCACAGTTTTTAGGGAATTCTAAAACTACTATATAAATACCTTTGTACATCATCAGTATATGTAGCGATTGTATTTTTTTTAATACAGTGTATAAACTTTGCTATTTTTATAATAATCTTTGCAGGAAATAGAGCCAGTTACAGAAGTAAATCATTTTGTATGTGAGCCATCCTCCTGACAATTTCAGTGGTAAATCCTTTCAATTACATCTGCTGGCACAGATACAGCTGATTCTTGGGAAACGTCTAGACACACCAGTAAGAGCATGTGAATGCATCCCACTTACTGTTACTCCAGTCTTGGATGTGTTTTAAACTGATGTACCCATAATTGCAGCTTTCCACACCTAAGGGCTGAAACCCTGCCTCTGTACACATCCACAAATTATAATTGACAATCTTGATTTTCATAAAAAAATGCACTTCTGGGCCAGGATAAAACAGGTACAGAAACAGAAATTGCTGGAGAAACTCAGCAGGTCTGGCAGCATCTGTGGAGAGAAAGCAGAGTTAACATTTCTGGTCCAGTGACCCTTCTTCAGAATGCTGAGTGCTTGTTATTATCCTCACGGAAGATTAGTCTGTGTTCACATCAGAAGAAATTCTTTTTCATCCACCCTTCCCTTGCCATCCTAAAGGGCAGGAAATGTTAGACTCAACCACATTTCTGTTGATAGAGGGTGGTTTTCATTCAAGAAGATCCAGTCTTGTTAACCTTCCTTTGCTTTTCAGGATCTTAAATTTCACTGGGGAAAAAAAAATTAAAATCAGTTATACATAGGTATGTAATTAAGACAGCATGTGTAACATTCAAATGTATTTTTGAAATAAAGACAAAAAAATACTGGAAGTGCAATTCACAGCTGTTGATGGCAAGCTTTGGTTAAAGTTTTGGATGATCCATGTATTAGTGTCAGTTTTTGGAGTGTACAGGACTAGGCTCAGAAGTGATGGCCAGAGCCAAATTCACGTATTTATGATTAGTTGCTTGGTCATATAGAACCTGAATCTTGCTGATAAAGGGAAACATGGCAAATCTTGCATTCAACAGGACAGACACGTGCATGCCTAATTTCAAAGGATTACTTAAGTAATAGTACAGGAGAAAAGAAGTGCTGATTGTTTGGCAAGTCGACTGACTGAGACATTGCCATGGAGAACATAACAGGCTGCCCAAGGTCAAGAAAGGCACAACACTTGAACATATTCCCTAGTTTGCAGACAGAACTCCCCCTGTATGAATGTGTGTCACATTAGGGGTCTGCGAAAGCAGATTTGGATTGATAAATACATACAAAAGCATAGGAAGTAAGAGCAACAGGAGGGCATTTGGCACCTCAAGCCTATCAGCCATTTGAGGGGATCACAGTGGATCTGATTGTGGCCTCTGGCCATTGATTCACTTGTAAGTCAAGAATCTATCTAACTAGCCTTAAAAAAAGAAACAGTGACTTCCACTGCTGTCTGGGAAGAGAATTGAACAGGCTAATACCTCTCAGGTTGGAAAAAAAAACTCAGCAGTCTTAAATGGGAGACCCATTATTAAACTCTGTCTTCATGTTACAGCCTCTGCCACAAGGAGAAACATCCTTTCCCTGTCAAATCCCCTTAGATTTTGTATGTTTCAATACGATCACCTTGCATTCTTCTAAGGTTTAACAGATATAGGACCAACCTGTCCTCAAGACAACCCCCTTATCCCAGGGATTAATTGAGTGAATCTTCATTGAACTGCTAATGGAATATATCCTTTCTTAAATAAAATCAAAGCTGTTTAATCAAACAACAGTAGTAAGAAAATAACAAATAGGAGCAGGAGTGAACTAAGCATTAGAGCCAGATTTGAGAAGCAAAAATATAAAATACTTCTTCACTCAAAGGAGTTGGGTGCAGAAGTACAGCATCTTGAGTCAGCTCCACCATTTAATAAGACTCATAACCCTCAGAAAAATATTTCATCTAATCTATGTTTTAAATGGTCTACCCCTTATTTTAGATTCTCATCTTCTCATTCAGGACCTCTCAGGATCTTTTTCAATTAATTCATTGCTTACTCTTTCAAACTCCAGTGAAGGCAAGTCTAGCCTGAGCAACCTTTCCTAATAAGACAACACTCTCATTCCAGATACGAGTCTAGAAACATACCTTGAACTCTTTCCAACGTATCTGCATTGATGGGAGAAAATTGTGGCTGTAACAGCTGCTTTGTTGAGGTTTTTTTCAGTGTTGGAGCTGATTTCCTTGGAGCAGTTATTGTTACAATTACTGTTTTACAAGCTGTTGCATTGTTCTGGAATTTGAGAAAACATCAAAACAACGGTACGTTAAAACAAGGAGGAGAGCAGGTACCATGTGGAAGGTGAGAAAAGGAGCAGTGAAGCAGTGAAGCTGCACAGCTGTCTGACCAAGCAGTGACCTTTCACAGCCAGCTGCCTGTGCTGTTTAATTACAAGTATCTCTGGAATCTGAGGTTGGTCTAAGAAAAATAAGCAAACAGTGAAATTCACAGCTGACCTTGGACAGACCTCTGGAAATAAGGTCACCAATCCTGTACACAGTCACCACATGTGGTCTGACCCATGCCCTGTATACCTGAGGCATAACCAACCTATTTTTGAATGTAATTCCTTTCGCAATTAATAACGTTCTACTAGCTTTCCTAACGACTGGTTGTAGCTGCAAACGACAATTTGTGATTCATGCACAAGGACACCTACATCCCTCTGCATCTCCAAGCTCTACAATTTGTCACCATTTACATAATGTGTTTATTCTTCCTGCCAAAATGGATAATTTCATATGTTCCCATATTATTCACCACTTGCCAGATCTTTGCCCACTCACTTAACCCCCATCTTTTTGTAGTTGCCTTCCTTTCCTACCTATGTATCATCAGAAAACGTGACAGTGATATCTTCCATTCCTTCATCTAAATAATTTATAAAAATTGTAAACAATTGATGTACCACCACTTGTTACATCTTGCTAACCTGAAAACATCTATTTATGTCTACTTTTTGCTGCATGTCGGCCAACCAATCTTCTATCTGTGCCAATGTACAACCCCCTACACCGGGAATTTTCAGCTTCTGCAATAACCTTTCATGTGGTACCTTATGAAATGCCTTCTGTAAATCTAAGCACAGTACATTCACCAGTTACCCTTTGCCTACTGCATGTATTACCTCCTAAACTCTTAGTAGGTTAGTTTAAGATGATCTCCCTTTCACAAAGCCATGTTGACTCTGGCTGATTAAACTGAACTTATCCAAGTGCCTTGTTATAACTTCTTTAATAATAGCTTCTAACATTTTCCCTTTGACACATTTAAGCTAACTGGTCTGCAGTTTCTCGCTTTCTGTTTTATTCCTTTTTTTGAATAAAGAAGTTACATTTCCCATTTTCCAATTTAATGGGACTGTCCGTGAATCAATGAAATTTTGGAAAATTAAAACTAATGCTTCAATTATCTCACCGACAACTTTTAAGAGTCTAGGATCTAGGACCTATGCACTTGTCAGCCCACAGCTCCAACAATTTACTCAGTACCGCCTTCCTTCCATTTCCTCATTTATTGCTTCTTCTGGGATGTTACTGTTATCTTCTGTAGTAAAAACTTGATGCAAAATACTCTTCAATTCATCTGCCATTTTCTTATATTCCATTATTAATTCATTCGTCTCACTTTATAGGACCAATGCTCACTTTAACTCTTGTTTAAATATTTATAGAAACTCTTAATATGCTTTTTATATTTCTGGCTAGCTTTCTCTCCTCCAGTATTTGTTTCCTTTTTTTGTCATTAACATTTAAAAAAAAAGTTCTGTTTAGCTTTCTGACCTGCCTCTTACTTTGCCCAATGATTTCATTTTAAATTTGATGGTATCTTTAAGCTTTCTAGTTAACCATAGATGGTGGGTCTATCCCTTGGCATTTTTCTTAATCATTAGAATTTTTTTTTCCCTCTATATTCTGAAATATCCTGTTAAAAGGTATGACATTTTATCACTTTCACTAGCTGTGCTTTCATGCCTTCATTACTCCCCTTTATTAATTTTAAGATGTCTCAGACTTACTCCTCTCTCTCTCAAACTTAAGGTAAAATTCAGTCATGTTAGGGTCGTTGCTGCCTAGGGGCACCTTCTTTATTAGATCATTAATTAATCCTATCCTATTTAGTAAAGCCTACTCTCTGGTCAGTTCCAGAACATGCTGTTGTATCTCAAAAACATTAAAACATTAGTCATCTAGATTACCTTTACCCATCTGACCTTTCCAGTCAACATGTAGATTAAAATCTTCCATTATTATTGCTGCATCTTTCTGACAAGCTCGTATTATTTCTTCCTTTATGCTCCATCCTACCATATGGTTGCTGTTTGGGAGCCTATACACCACTCCAACAAGTGACACGTCTTTATGATTTCTCATTTCTACCCAAACTGTTTCCATACTTGGTTCCTGAACTTAGGTCATCCCTCTTTGTTGTGCTAATACCATCATTAATAACGGAGCCACCCCTCCACATTTTCCTAGCTTCCTGTCCTTCCTAAATGTTCTGTACCCTCCAAGATTCAGGTCCCAATCCATATCACTCTGCAGTCATGCCTTTGTAATAGCTACCAGATCATTACTTATTTCTATCTTGCTCTCATTTCACCTGTTTTAATTTGAATCCTACATACAAAAATACATCCTTTAGTTTTATCCTTTTTATTTTGTAATTTCTACATTTATTTGTTGGTTCACTATTAGATTAGTACTCTCTATCCCTTCATGTCAGTCTATTTTATCATATCCCAGATTAATATCTTTCTCTTCGGCCTTGCCTATCCTGTTTCATTTATAAGATGTTCCAAAATTTGATCCCTTGCCACAATTATTTAGTTTAAAATCCAGTCTACTTCCCTAGGTAGCCAAGAACACCAGGCTCAGAGTTCAGCATGGAGACCTTTCCATTAGTACAAACTCCACTTTACCAGAGCTGGTGTCTGTACCAAACACAAGAGACCCACTTCTCCTTCACTCATTTTTGAGCCACGCATTCATTTCTTCAATCTGAATTGCACACAACCTCAGGCAATAATGTAGAAATTATGACCTTTAATTTTTTGCTTTAATGCAGAACCTCCTTTTGTACTGCTATGTTGGTTGTATCGACATGGACCATGACAACTGGGTTCCTCTCCCTCCCACTTCAAGTTACTCTCCAGCCCAACGCAGATGTCTCACACCTTCACAATACACAGACAACAGAGTAATCTGGACTTTGATGCACAGAATGGTCAATTATCCCTCACTACCACCATATTCTTTCTTACACACCCCTCCTGCCCGACATTTACCACAGTGCCATGGTCTGTTAGTTTATCTACCTTGCAACTCCCATGCTTATCAAGACAAACTGAAAGAAACTCAAAACTGTTGGGACAATTGCAAAGGTTGAGGCTCCTGCCCTCTCGGTCCCCTTTAATGGCTCTTTCAGTGCTGTAACTACAAATGATTATATAAATTCTGTGACTATTTACCTGCCTCCCTCACAAAGTTTAGAACTCTCCTAGTCACTGAAGCCAGATTAATTGTTAATTTGAAATGGAGATCAATAGATTGTCAGCACACACAGGAAAGGTATGAGGCAAAGGAGAGTGTGCAGACCTGCATCACTGTCAGTTACAATCTCATTGAATGGCACAGTGTAGGCGGATCTCAACAAAAATGTCCACTACCATCATATACGATCATGTGAAGCAGGCCATGAGGGAAACCTATTAGCTTTTAGTTTCATTAATTTCTTCAACACATTTTATTTATTAATATTTCATATAAGATCCTCACTCTTATAAAACTTTTGATTCCCCACTGTTTTTTTCTTTTAAACAATTCTACTGTTCTGAATGGAATACAGATAATTTGATTGTAAAATAGTATTTACATTTTCACTTTTATGAAGTCATACCTTTTAATCTAATTTGCTCACTGATTTGGCCCAATCACCCCATGTACCTATGTGACTGTCTTTAAGTGTAATGCTGATTTCAGATCAATGTACATTACCCCTTTTAAAAAAAAACTATGAGTTGTAGTTCCTCAAGCTGCAGACCCTTTCATATAGTTGTCTTGGATTGCAGTGTTCTCCAGATGCCCCCATGGGTAGGCTGCGACTTTCTTCACCGGAGCGTGGGAGGTTGCAAGGCGACCCTAAAGAAGTTTATAATATAAATGAGGGGTATAGGCAGGGTTAATGGTAGGTGTCTTTTCCCTAGGATGGGCGATTTTAAGATTAGGGGCACACTTTTAAGGTGAGAGGAGAGAAATTTTAAAAAGACAGGAGGGGCAAATATTTTACATGGAGTGTGGTTCACATGTGGAATGAGAGACAACAAGGTGCAGGGCTGGACGAACACAGCAGGCCAAGCAGCATCATAGGAGCAGAAAGGCTGACGTTTCGGGCCTAGACCCTTCATCAGAAAAGGGGGTTCTGAAATAAATAGGGAGAGAGTGGGAGGCGGATAGAAGATGGATAGAGGAGAGGATAGGTGGAGAGGAAACAAACAGGTCAAAGAGGCGGGGATGGAGCCAGTAAAGGTGAGTGTAGGTGGGGAGTTAGGGAGGGGATAGGTCAGTCCAGGGAGGACGGACAGGTCAAGGGGGCGGGATGAGGTTAGTCAGTAGGAGATGGGGGTGTGGCTTGAGGTGGGAGGAGGGGATAGGTGGGAGGAAGAACAGGTTAGGGAGGCGGGGACGAGCTGGACTGGTTTTGGGATGCGGTAGCGGGAGGGGAGATTTTGAAGCTTGTGAAATCCACATTGATATCATTGGGCTGCGATAGGGTTTCTGAGGAAGTGGTGGCAGTAGGTACAATTTCAAAGTTTAAAAGACACTTTGAAAAGTACATGAATAGGAAAGGATTGGAGGGATATGGGCCAGGAGAAATCAGGTGGGACTAGTCTAGTTTAGGATTACATTCGGCATGTCCTGGTTGAACCAAAGAGTCTGTTTCCGAGCTGAATGACTATGGAGCAGCTGGTACATCACCACCACCAGTAACATCCCTATCTAACCTTGTTTTATTTTGTTAATTAGTATCTATATAATCATAATGGTTACAGCACAGAAGAGTCACAGTTTTTACAGCATGGAAAGAGACTGTTTGGCCCAACGTATCCATGCTGGTCATCAAACATCCATCTGTTTGAATCCCATTTGCCAGCACTTGGCCTGAAATCATGTATCTTATGGTGCTGCTTGTGCTCATCTAAATAGTTCTTAAATGTCAAGGGTCTACCACCTCCTTAGGTAGTGAACTCTAAGATACCCACAAGTGATTTTTTTATTCCTCAAATGACCTCTAAACTTGCTGCTCCTTACCTTAACACTGTACCGTCCTGGTTCCTGATGCCTGTACTAAGGGGAAATGTTTCTCCTTATCCACCCTAACTATGGACCTCTAAACTTTGTACACCTCAATCAGATTTGTTCTCACCCTACCCTGCTCAAAGGAAAACAACCTAAGCGCCTCTTCACAGCTGAATCACTCCAGTCCAGCAACATCCTGGTAAATCTTTTCTCGTTCATGCAGTCACATCCTTCCCATAGTGTGGTGACCAGGAATGCACATAAGAGGCCATTGTGACTGTGCTGGCCTTCTGAAAGAGCAGTTCACTTAGTGTCATTAACCCTATTCTTTCCCCATAGCTCTGCGCTGTTTTCATTTTTGGGTACCAGCTCATCTAAATCCCTTTTGTATGCCTTGATTGAACCTGCCTCCCTACACTTCCAGCCAGGGCATCATAACAGATTAGATTTTTATTCCAGATTTATAACTGAACTTAAATTGTCCAACAGCTGTTTGGGATTTGAACTCACAGTACCTGTCATTTGTCCAGTTTCTGGATTTCTGTCAATGATATGATCATTCTACTATCTTAGCCATGTACGAATTAGTCTTTTTCTCGTCTGAATGCATTGACTTTGCAATACTTGGAGTTAAGTGAAATTGTGAGTAAGGTATTAGAATGAGATTTTATTGTCATGTGTACTCAAGTATTGGAATACAGGTGTACAAAAGTCACCATTCTCCAGCGCTAGTGAGATAGTAGGAACTGCCGATGCTGGAGAATCTGAGATAACAAGGTGTAGAGCTGGATGAACACAGCAGGCCAAGCAGCATCAGAGGAGCAGGAAAGCTGATGTTTCGGGTCTAGACCCTTCTAGCGCTATCGTGGTTACAGAAACCATAATACAGAAAACAACAGCAGGAATAAAAGAAACAGAGCCAAAAGGAAAGGAAAACATCGAGGCCTAAAAGAAATTATTCTGTGGGATTTTTTAAACAACTCACTTACTTTGCCAATACCTCCTTACCCTTCTGGTACTAAATTTCCCAACTTTAAAGCTCTTGTTTAGAATGTAATCATAAAGCATGGAAACAGACCCTTCGGCCCAACTAGTCCATGCCTGTGAAACTCAGCAGGTCTGGCAGCATCTAGGGGGAAGAGAAACAGAATTAATGTTTCAGGTCCAGGACCAGCCTTCAGAACTCGTTAACTGTTTCTCTCCCCACAGATGCTGCCAGACCTGCTGAGTTTCTCCAGCACTTTCTGCTTTTGTTTCAGATTTCCAGCATTAGCAGCTCTTTCAGCCCATTTAACCAAACTGTATTTCCATTGATTTTATAAACTTAACGGGACTGGGCCCTTATCTCACTGAGTCTTCGGGAGGTTTGGTCTTACTTTCCAACTACACTCATCACTGAGCCCCAGTCTCAGTAAATGACGGTAAACATAAATTGATCTTAATGCTGCACACCAGCAACACCACCATCCGCAACTCCCCCGAGGCTGACGGGATACTGGCAGACTACCTTGAGAAGGCTGATCTCCAGGGGCCGACGGGATACTAAATTAAAAAAAACACGAAATAACTGTGGATGCTGTAAATGAGGAACGGAAGTTGCTGGAAAAACTCAGCAGGTCTGACGGCGTCCGTGAAGAAAAAACATCAGAGCTAACGTTTCGGGTCCTGTGACCCTTCCTCAGAAGGGCTGACGGGATACTGGTAGACTGCCATGGGAGGTCCGATATCGAGGGGCTGACGGGATGCTGAAGAAAGGTCACCGGACCCGAAACGTTAATTCTGAATTTTTTCTTCACAGATGCTGGTAGATCTGCTGAGCTTTTCCACCAACTTCTGTTTTTGTTGCTGACATGATTCTGGCAGATTGCCGAGGTTGTCCGATATCCAGGGGCTGACGGGATACTGGCAGACTGGCGTGAGGGTGCCGATGGCTGATGGGATACTTGCGGACTAGGACTGCGAAAGATGGCGGTGTTGGTGAAGATGGGGGCTGGCTCGTTGTGTGGTTTGGTGCGGAGCCTGAAGGTCATGGAGCCGGTCAGGACGGTGACGGGCACCGGTGAGTGAGCGGCGGTGGGACACTGTGGGGCTGCAATATCCTCCTAAACTGAGATAGAGAAAACTCAGAGCTGGTCAGTTGGCTTCTCCATGGGAACCCTTTGAGTGCAGTTCTATCGCTCCCGGGCACCGAGTCCAGTCTGATTAGCCAGGGATGTGCAGAACCTCATCTTCCCCTGTCTGCAAAGCTAAGTAACCCGAAGAAGGTGATAGAGATAGAGACAAACACAGGGCAGTACTTCAGCTGCAGTTATGTAATTGAGAATTAGATGCAGTGGGAATGTTGATCACCATAGATTTTTCTTCTCAGTTATTCTACAAGCTATGCTTTTTGTTATCTCCCCATAACCTCCCTGCAGCCTTCATTCAGTGTGCCTATGCCATCCCTATTCTGTGAATCCCTGTGGAACAGACCACACGCAGGTCTAATCCTAGCTGTCCCACCAGCATCTCCTGCATAGGATGATAGCCTGATGCCATCAAAATGTTCAACTCCAGCTCCCACCTCTTCCTGCTTATCTTAAGCAAAGAAGTGGGTTAGCTGTTATGTAGCACCTGTGCTTTACTGGACAATTATCAAAGAAAACTTAATATTGGGAGATATTGGTTTGGTCAGAGTTGTAAGTTTCAAAGAAAAAGTTCAAGGAGGTGGGAGGCAGAAGCCCTCCAAGGTTTAGAGGTGAAGATTTAGCTGTTGATGTTGGCATGAGAAAATATGGGAAATCATGAATTGTTTTGAACACCAGGATGAAAATTGTAACATCAAAGTGTTGCCTGACCATGACCAAACATAGATTAATGGATGAGTTACTATATGGGAGAGAAGGTTTGAATGAACAAGTTTACAGACAGTGCATATGTAAGTTTGGCCAAGGCAGTATTGAACAGTCGCATTTCAGCAGCAAGTGAACTTAGGCAGTGACAGCCCCCGAAGGTCTTCAAGCCGCATGCAACTTTTTTGCTGGTCCTAAGTATGCAGGTTGTTGCGCTGCTTGTCACTGAGTATATTTCTCTTCTAAATAAAAACCAAAATCAAGAACAAAAACAAAGTTGCTTGAAAAGCTCAGCAGGTCTGGCAGCATCTGTGAAGGAGAAAACAGAGTTTCGGGTCCAGTGACCCTTCCTCATAACATATATTTCTCTTCTAGCTGTGCTTTGTAAACGTGCGGCTCCACTGGGGCCAATGCCCAACGAAGACATTGATGTGACAAACCTGGAGTCTCTGGAAAAGTACCGTAGCTATGCCCGATATCTGCAGCTAGCAGAGGAAAAGAGCTGGCAGCCAACCTGGTGGAAGACTTATAAGCAATACACACAAGAGCCTGGTAAGTTCCAATTGACACGTGTATCAAACCAAGACATTTTACAACTGTTTAGAAGTGAACGTATGACAGTGTATTTCTGAAACTTCACATTTTGTCTCCTGGGACATTGAATTATATCTAAATGAAGCCAGTGAAATTTATGTCTTTTTGATAGGTTTGGGTTTTTAATAAGGTGACTTTGGCACTTTTCTACTCATTGAAACAAAATCGCCTAAATTGACTGCTTCACTAGCAGTCTCACTCTGAAATAGAAGTGACCAATGAATGCTGTGGGTTCATCAGTGCAGAAAAATGCCTGAGATTGCAAGAACATGTTGGGAGCTGGGAATTCTGTGGTGAGTAATTCACCTGTCTCCCCAAAGCCAGCTGGCCAAGTCACAAGCCCATCAAAGGCATGTCATGGAATACTCTAAACTCGCCTGGACAACTTTGAATGTGATTGTTGATTGACTGATGTGGCAGTAAATGACTGCTGTGTGTTTGTCTTGTTTATTGTGGACAGGACATAGCTCAACAGTTTTCTACAGTGTTGAAGTTGTACTGGAAAGCTTTGCTTTTTAAAAATTATTTCAATGCAATGCGAATCCTAATCATTGTTCTTGAACTGCTGCAATCCAAGTAGTGTGGATACAACCACGACGCTTTTCGGAAGGAAGTTCCATGATTTTTACTCGGTGTCAGTGAAAAAACGGCAATATGTGTTAAAATCAGGATCGTGTATGTTTTGGAGGGGGACTTGTGAGTAATATGTTCCTAGGTGTCTGCCTCCTTTGCCTTCTAGATGGTCACTGTTTTGGGTAGTGTTGTCTAAAGAGGCTTGGTGAGATGTTGCAGTGCATCTTGTAGGTGATACACGTACAACAACATGCATCAACAGTGCAGGAGGTGAATTTTAAAGATTTCACATGGGTGCCAGTCAACGAGGCTGCTTTGTTATGAATTGCTTCAAGTGTGGTGGATATTATTGGAACTGCAGTCAGTCAGACAAGTGGAAAGTATTCCATAACACTCCTGACCTATACCTTTGAGAAGCTGGGAGGTGAACTACTCGCCTCATAATTCCTAGTTTCTCACCTGCTCTTGTAGTTACTGTTTTAAATGGCTGGTACATTTCAGAATTTGGTCAGTGGTAGCCCAGATGTTGATGGGGTTGGGGGGATTCAACTGTGGCGATGCCACTGAATGGCAATGGTTGTATCCTTTCTTGTTGGAGATAAGACCAAAAGACCATCAGACATATGAGCAGAATTAGGTTATTCAGCCCATCGAGTCTACTCCACCATTTGATCATGGCTGATATGTTTCTCAACCCCATTCTCCTGCTCTCTCCGTATCCCTTGATCCCCTTACTAATCAAGAACCTATCCATCTCTGTCTTAAATACAATCAGTGACTTGGCCTCCACAGCCCTCTGCGGCAATGAGTTCCACAGCTTAACCACTCTCTGGCTGAAGAAATTCCTCGTCATCTCGGCTCTAAAGGCTCAACCTTCATTCTAAGGCTGTGCCCTTGGGTCCTAGTCCCTCCTACTGGTGGAAATATCGTCTCTCTGTCCATTGTATCCAGGCTTCTCAGTATTCTGTAAGTTTCAATCAGATCTTCCTCCATCTTCCTAAACTCCATTCAGTACAGACCCAGAGTCCTCAACTGCTCTTCGTATAACAAGCTGTTCATCTCCAGGATCATTCTTGAGAACCTTGTCTGGATCCCCTCCAGCGCCAGCACATCCTTTGTTAGATACATGGCCCAAAACTGCCCTCAATATTCCAAATGTGGTCTGACCAGAGTCTTATACAGACTCATCAGTACATCTCTAGTCCTGTGTTCCAACCCCTTCAAATTGAATACTCACATTGCATTTACCTCCCTAAGTGCCAACTGAACCTGGACACTAATCTTAAGAGAATCCTGAACTAGGACTCTTGAGTCGGATTTCTAAAGCCCTTCCCTGTTTACAAACAGGGAAGTGAATAACCTCATAGTTTCGCGTTTTGTATGCCATCTGCCACTTCTCTGCTCCTAGCCTGTCCAAGTCCTCCTGCATCCTCCCCACTTCCACAACACTACCTGACCCTCCACCTATCTTTGTGTCGTCTGTAAGTTTAGCAACAATCGCTTCAGTTCCTTTGTCCAGATCATTAATGTATAATGTAGATAGTTATGTTCCCAGCATGGACCACTGGTCAAGTACACCACGGGCTCTTATTTTATTTAGCAGCCTCCTGTGCAGCACCTTGCCAAAGGCCTTCTGGAAATCCAAAGAGATTACGTTCACAGGCTCTCCTTTGTCTAACATGCTCATTACTTCCTCAGAGAATTTTAACATTTTTCAGGCATGACCTTCACTTGACAAAGCCATACTGACTCAGCCCTATTTTTACCATGCAATTCCAAGTATTCCTTAATAATGGACTCTAAAAGCTTGTTAATGACTGAGGTCAGTCTAACTGGCCTGTAATTTCCTGTCTTCTGCTTCCCTTTTTAAATAGGGGTGTTACATTAACCATTTTACAGTCCTCTGGGAGCCTCCCCTCTGGACCATCTCTGGGATTCCTGAAAGATCACCACTAATGCCTGTACAATCTCCTTAGCTGTCTCCGTCAGAAATCTGGGGTGTAGTCCATCAGGTCCAGGTGATTTATCCGCCTTTGGATCTTTCAGCATCCCCAGCACCTTCTCCTTAGTGATGGCCAGTACGCTCACCTCTGTCCCCTGACTCTCTTGAAGTTCTAGTATGCTGCTGATATCTTCCACCATGAAATCTGATGCAGAGTACCTGTTCAGTTCCTCCGCCATTTCTTTGTTCCCCATTACTACTTCTCCAGCCTCACTTTCCAGCTGTCCAGTGTCCACTCTTGCTCTGTCTTTATTTTTGGATACTTAAAAAAAATTCTAGCAATCTTCTTTTATATTACTACCTATCTCACTCTCATATTTGATCTTCTCCACACCCCCCACCCACCATCGCCTTTTTTTTATAGTTATCCTCTGTTCGTTTTTAAAGTCTTCACAATCCTCTGGTTTCCTACTAATCTTCAGCACATTGAATGCATTTTCTTTTGGTTATGTCCCTGACTTCCCTTGTAGCCATGGTTGCCTTGTCATCCCCTTGATATGTTTATTCTTCCTTGGGATGAATTTCTGCTGTGCCTCCCAAATTACTCCCAGAAATGCCTGATATGGTTGCTTCATCAACTTCCCTGTTAGGCTTCCTTTCCAATCAACTCTGACTGGTTCTTTCCTCATGTCTTTGTAGTAACCTTTACTCAACTGTAATACTGTTACATCTGATTCCAACTTCTCCCTCTCAAACTGCAGGGTGAATTCTGTCATATTATCAATGTCACCTTGGGGTTCCTTCAGCTTAAGCTTCCTAATCAAATCTGCCTCATTATACAACACCAAATCTAGAATTGCCTGTTCCTGAGTGAGCTATACCACAAGCTGCCCCAAAAAAATCTCATAGACATTCCGCAAATTCCTTTTCTTGACATACAAATTTCCTTCCCTAAACGAGATTTTTTTGAATCAGATGGGGTGTTAGAACAATTCAGTGGTTTGAAGGTCATCATAACTGAGATTGGACTTTTATTCCAGATTTATTTAATTAGCGGAATTTGAATTGTCCAACTGCCATGTGGAATTTGAACCCATGTTCCCCCTCATTTGTCCAATGCCTGGGTTTCTGTCAATGACAACCATTCTGCTATCTTAGCCATGTATGAAATAGTCTTTTCTCATCTGAATGCATTCACTTTGCGATACTTGGAGTTAAGTGAAATTGTAAGTTATTGTGTGGGATTTGCTTTTATCTTGGGATATTTTACATGGAAAATTTAATGTGGGTATTTTTCTTTGAACTATTTTTGTAGTTGTTACTTTCAACTTCTCTATAACTATTGGGCAAATTGCTAAATATTTTAGTTTATGTAGTCTGAAATGTGATGGCTCCTCTCAGTATTTTCCATTGAATTCTTTTCAGCTTCGGAGAAAATTGACATTGGTCTCCCTCATTTTAGAGAATCTCGGAAGAAGCAACTGAGGGAGCGCAGGCGCGTCACCAGGGAAAACCACAAAAACTCTGATCTTGAAAGTCAAGCACGACATAGGACATGTACGTCAGGTTTGACATGCAGATGGCTGAGAAGGAACTAGCAAGCGAGCCTAGGCTGCATGCGGTCCCAAGATAATTTTGTAACCCTTTTACCTTTTGGTTTGTTGCTGGCTTCGATTCGGTGTTTTGTTTTTACCCTGAGTTGCAACCATTACTGCTGGGCACATGCATGTGGCTCAGACCTTGACTACTACTTCAGTACAGACTAAATTTGGAGCTCAGAGAATGGTCATGACTCTGGTCCTCTCCAAACACTATTTTCTTGTGTCCCTCACAAAGTAAATAATTCTACAAGCAAACTCAAGTTAATCTGGGGGCTCATGCACTCTGGGTGAGCAACAAACCCATCAATATATATAATTAAATGTAACAGTAATCCTGAATCTCTCTAACAGGCAGAGAGATACTGAATGACCTCAGATAAATGCCATGATTTGTTTCTAAAAACAAAAAGACAGAAGTATAAACCATTAAAGCAACAAGCACTATTGGACCTAACATAGGTCACTTAATCCTTGAGTCTGTTCCACTTTTCAACAAGATCATGGCTGATCTGATTGTAGTCTCAACTTCACTTTCCAACCTATCTCCAGTATCTTTGACTCCGTTTTTAGTGAAGAATCTGTCGTCTTCTGCCTTAAACATATTCAATGACCCAGCTGCTGCTGCCTCCCCATAGAAAGGAGATCTAAAGGCTCCCAACCCCTGAGAGAAAAAAATTCCCCTAATTTTCATCTTAATTAAGAGACCTCTTATTTTAAAACTGTGTTCTCTAGCTTTATTCTCTTCCACAAGAGAAAATAGCCTTTAAACAAACACCTTCCCAAGTCGCCTTAAGACTGTGTTTCACATCTCGATTTTTTTGATCTCAATCTAAGTTCAGTGTACCCAGTGGTTTTCCCTTCATGCACCTTGCTTGTTTTTCCTTAAAGAGCTCCAGTAGTTTGGTCAAACGTGATTTTGCCTTCACAAAACCATGTAGACTCCTGGTAGCATTGCAAATTGCTCAGGGTCCTTCTAAAACCCCCTTGATAATAGGTTTAAACATTTTGCCTCTGACGGATGTTAGGTTCACTTTCCACTGTTAAAGCAACTTGGGGATCATTGTGGACAATAGACGCAATCTCCACACACACACACACACACACACACACACACACACACACACACACCCCCCAACTTTCCAATGCTGTCCTCAAATCTGACCACCCTTTCCCTCTGCACCTGAACTGAGATTGAAACCTAATTTTCAATTACCTCTGCTTTTCAGCTTGTCTACCAGACCAAGCAGCGACATAACATTAAAATTGTTGAATTAAGTACAATGGAATAAGCCATGATCAGTAAATTATTAAGTGATCAAGGATTTGGTCAGGAGACTGGGAGACTGGTTAACAGGTTTGTCTGTGGAGTTGGTTATTAATATACTCCGTACAGTTACTTGTCTCTCTGCTGCCCTCTACCTTGCATTGATAGACCTACCCTTTGCCCAATATTGAATCGATACCTCTTGGGTTTCTCTCCTATCTCCCCTCATGAGTTCACCTCCCTGAAACCGAACTCGTGCTGACTTGGCTCAATTCCCACTGACCATCCAACTTCCCTTCCCAGCCCCAATGCCAAATGGCATTGTTCATGTTACGTATCCTCAGGTCCTGTCTCACTGCCTTTCAAAACTATAAGTACCTTTCTTTTGTCATTGCAGATTTCCATGCTGTGACCAATTCTCCCCATCCCTCCATTCCTCTCTGAGTTCTTTGCACATGTTCTTGTCCACATGAGTACGGTTATGGAGTTGTGCTGGGCACCTGTATAAATTCACAACTGAGCTAAGAATTGAATCCTTTCAGAGAAGGGGAAAGCTAAAGCAAAACAACATGCCTGTTTACTAAGCAAATGGATGCAGAAGCTGTAAATGTAAAATTGTCAGAATGGAAACGGGCTTGTTTGAATGGTCTCTTTTCCTCACAGTGTCAGTTCCGCTGGATGAGGTGAAAGCTGAATGGGAGATAACAAATGGGCCTTTCCATTTGCGGAAAATCAGTGAACACTATGCTGTTTACAGAGACCTGTTCAATGGAGCAACTTTCCTTCCCCGTGTGATGCTGCGTATTCAGTATGACTGTGAGGATGACATTGTGCCAGTGTATCACGGGAATGTGGTCACCCCCACAGAGGTACGAAGGAGCAAATCTGTGTATTTAATAATCTACACATATGTAATACACAACTTCAAAGCAGCAAAGTAACATAAAATTGTGGAACCTACAAAATGGATTAAGCAACGATCAGTAAATTATGAAGTGATTAAGGATTTGGTCAGACCCAGATATAGAGAGACTGGCCGATGTGTTTGTGTGTGGATTGGCTTATTAATACAGGCCCTGCAGTCACTTGTCTTTCTGCTGCCCTCTACCTTGCAATGGTAGACCAGTCCATCCATGTCCAAATATTCTGGCACAAGAAATTCTGAAAAACTAACAATAACCATGATTTAATTGTGAATCATTCTCCCTGTATGCTGCTGACCATACTGTCTCTGTCTCACTTCCCTTTGTTAATAACAATTTAACAGTGTGCACGCAATAGTCTTTTCATGATTGGATGATGTGCCTTAGTGCAGATTGTTTTCCAATTACAATTCACTTTGTCTTTCTTTCTCATTTCCAGGCTTTAAATTCTCCAAAAGTGTCTTTTGAAGCAGAAGAGGGGTCCCTTTGGACACTGCTGCTCACCAATCCAGGTCTGTAGTATCTTCCGTCAAGATTTTAAGAGGCTGTATGATTATAGAGCCGTTACTTGGATGTAAGGGAAAATTGTAATAGTGGAATGATTTTCAATTAAAGTGTGCCCCCTTTTTTTAAACATGTCTCCATCGACTGTTAGCTGCTCCACTGGTAGTGCTATTGGGCAGTGTTGTCAAACAGCTTTAGAATAAAAAGCAGGAACTGCAACTTTCTCCTACCCTAAGAACTGTACCAGAGCTATAGGGCCTTGGCAATCATGGCCCTTGCAGACTGTGAAGGTCTCCAAAAATATCCACCAGTGTTACGCAGAGACCTGTCTGCACCATCACTATACCCTTGTGTTACACAGTAATAGACCTGTCTGCATCAGTACTATACCCCAGTGTTACACCGACAGACCTTTCTGCACCAGCACCATACCCCAGTGTTACACAGCGAG